CATATAGTATTACTTTCGTACTTTTTTAATTTCATACTTTTGTGCAGTGCATTCACAATGCTTTTAATTATTTTAGGTCACCAAGTAAATGGTTAGTAATTTAAATGGTAGCACTCATTAATGGACAAGTTACAATAATATAATTATCATTAGCAAATTGTAAGATAATAATTAAGTTGCTGTTTTTAGGAGCGTTTTATTTTAAATTCACTCATTGTTCATTTTATCAGCTCCACTAAACATATGTATTTCTCCACTTATCACGAATCTGTTCCGTCTTTTTCTCTTCATATGTAGTTGGCATTTTCCCCTTCAATGGTCAGGACCCTCACAGAGCAGGTACTATTTGGGTGGTGGATCATTCCCAGCACTGCAGTAACACTGATGTGGTGGTGTGTTAGTGTGTGTTCCGCTGGTATGAGTGGATCAGACACAGCAGTGCTGCTGGAGTTTTTAAACGCTGTGTCCACTCACTGTCCACTCTATTAGACACTCCTACCTTGTTGGTCCACCTTGTAGATGTAAAGTCAGAGACAGTAGCTCATCTGTTGCTGCACAGTTGTTAGTCATCCTCTAGTCCCTTTAGTCACAGGACACTGCCCACAGGAGCTGGTGACTAAACCAGTAGTGTACTTACATCAAGACCTGCATTATTTTTGACTAAAATTAGCTTAAATGTTTGGGATTATTTGAATACTTTGCAAACACCCAAAGAACATCTGTGATTGGTCAGGATGCTCACAGCACACAATAAAATATTTGGTGGTTGCCTAGAGGCTCATTTTGCATATTGCAGACTTCTGTCATAGTTCTAGATTTTAGAGTCTGTTTCCACTAGTGAGTAGACTCTCCTTCATATGTTACAGCCCACCGCTCTTACAACCAGTTGCCTATAAGGTTATAATATCTCTTACCGCTATTTCAGATGTTTCTAGGGATCATTTAAGGCCATTGTGGGCTGACCGTATTTATAATTCCGTTCTCAAAAGCTCCAGACAGATTGATTCTCTGAAAGCCTTATGAGAAGACTGATCTAGATCCACTGCTTAATGCATTAGCTTTATATCCCTACAGAAGAGATGGCAAGCAATTACACTGCCCCACTTTCTCATATCCCATCAAAAAGCTCTGTGAAATCTATGCAAATTCTCCCTGTGAATCTCTCCCTAACCTGCAATGAACAGGCACAGAAACCCACAGGAAAAACAGTCACACTTGAGATGGTGAGGGATTTTTGTATCTCTTATCTGAGAGATTTGTCCTTGTTGATGTGTTTGTCTGAGGGGAGCTGCTTGTGCGTGTGTGTGTTTTCTCTTCAACGTTAATCTGACTTTGATATGCAGCCACACGCTCGACGCCTCGTCTCCTCCTCAAAGACATAGACTAAAGGGATCTTGGGGTGTGTGTATGAATGTGTGTGCGTGCCTTTCGGTGCCTTTTTTATTTATTTTTTATTTTTTTTGGGATACTGTCCTTCACACACCTACACACACTTTCACACATAATGTGTGTTTTCCCCTCTCTTTAGGTGGTTTATTGGCCTCTTGCTGAGGGACTTTGAAAAGTCCTCTGAAAGTACGGCTAACTCTTCTCATACAGGGCCCTCCATGAATATTGGCAGCCCTGGTAAACCTGAGAAAAACAGGCTGTTGAACATTGTTTATTGCTAATCCTTTTGATCTTTCAATTAAAATATTGAGAAAAACCTTTGTTTGAAGTTTAGTGGTTTAAAGAAAAAATGAAATCTTATTATGAAATACAGTGCTGTGAAAAAGTATTTGTCCCTCACCCGATTTCTTCTATTTTTGCTAATTTGTTACATTTGTTAATTTGTTTTACATTTGTTACATTCAGATCATCCAACTATTTTTAATATAAGACAGATAACGTGTAAACACAAAATGAAGCTTTTAAATGAACATTTCATTTATTGATATAAAGATTTATTCAAAACCTTTGTTTTCAAAACAGTTGCCCTCCTAAACCCAATAACTGGGTGGGCCACCCTTGGCAGTTACAAGTGCAAATGTTTGTGACACTCGCAAAAAGTTTATTTCATTGCTTTTGGTCCACTCCTGTTTGCAGAATTGTTTTTAATTCTGTTACATTGGAGGGTTTTCGAGCATGAACTGCCTGTTTAAGGTCTTTCCACAGCATCTCAATGGGATTCAGGTCAGGACTTTGACTCGGCCACTCCAAAACCTTCATTTTGCTTCTTTAGAGCCATTCAGAGGTGGACTTGCTTGTGTGCTTCAGATCGTTGTCCTGCTGCATAACCCAACTGCGCTTGAGCTTTAGGTCACAAACTGATGGGAGGACATTCTCCTTCAGGATTTTCTGATTGAGAGCAGAATTCATGGTTCCAACAGTTATGACAAGTCATCCAGGTCCTGCAGAAGCAAAGCAGCCCCAGAACATCATCCTATTAGTGTGATGTTCCTATGGTAGAATGTTGTGTTAGCTTTATGCCAGATGTAACAGGACCATGTCTTCCAAAAAGTTTAACTCATCAGTCCACAGAATATAATCCAAAAGGTCTTGGGGGTCATGTAGATGTTTTCGAGACTTTGTGTTCCTTTTGGTCAGCAGTGGTTTGCGCCTTATTGTGCTGCTTTTTGAGACCTTCTAGCCAGCTTCACATTGCCAGACAGGTTCTATTTAAGTAATGTTTAGATTCAACTAGTCTGGCAGTAATCATCCCTGGGTGTGGTTAGTGAAATTGAACTCAATAGTCAATTGAATTTGGTTAACTGGTTGATTTACTAGCTACGGGGGCAATTACTTTTTCACATAGGGCCAGGTAGGGCTGAACAGCATTTTTTCTTCAATAAATGAAATCATCATTAAAAAACAAAACAGCATTTAATGTTTACTTGGGTTATGTTTGTCTAATATAAAAAGTAGTTTGATGATCTGAAACATTCAAGTCTAACAAACATGCAAAAAATAGAAGGAGCAGATACTTTTTCACAGCACTATATTTTTCTCAAATCTGTGTGTACCACAGTTGTTGGCTCCCCTTGATTTAATACTTTGTGCAGTCTTTTCCTATAATGCTTAATGAGGCCAGAGAGCACACGGCAAGGGATCTGGGACCATTCCTCCTTACAGAACCTCTCCGGTTCCTTAAGATTACAAGATCTTAGTTGGTAAATAAAAGTTAAATAAATAAAAGGTTTACATCTGCTTTACATAATCTTTCTTCACTTCCAACACAAAAGAGCTAATAAGTAATTTTCACTTGCAGATGTGGTAGTCATTCGTTTGTTCTTCTGTAGACCTACCTTAGTCCTCTTTGATTATTTTTCTCACACAGGCTCTTTGCTTCTGGTTAGATCAGGTGGCACAAGAAAAAACATGTTCTCAAGTGAACGTCCAGTCAGATGTGATGAGTCAGCAGACTTATTTTGCACACTCAGTGTTGACAGATACACACAGGAACATGATCTCTTAAGTGATGTAAGTGATATGGGTATTCGTTAGGAATGCATGGTCAGTATCAGACAAGATGAGAACTTTTTTGCTCAAAATTGACCAAATATAGTGGAGTTTATTTATTTATTTATTTATTTGTTTTATTTTATTTTATTTTGGCTCATCTGTGTTGCAATTTTATGATGTAATAACCTGAGGCCGGGACGTTCACTCACACTGCATTTGACTGCTGCTACACCTAAACCACAATGTCATAGAATAATTATACCTGACACATTCTACTAAATAGTTGATTGCCTCTTACTTTCCATGTAGCACTTTATTCTATTCAAATATCATAATAATTACCCAGTGTGTCTCACAGAGCCAAAACCAAATGATGTGTTTATTACAATATCATATGTATCCTAAACTGACATTCAGGTTGTTAAGATTACAGATTTATGACTTAAGTAATTCTGCGAGACTGATTTGTTGGATTGATGTAATTGTAAAGCCTGGTACCAGTAAAACTAGCATGCCTATTTTGAGAAAACATGATTTTGTATAACTGGCATCTTTCATGTGAGAGCACAATTAATCAAGTATAGTATGTGCATGGTGAAGTAAAGATTTTCCAGTATTACAGTATACCAGTGTTACAGTGTTGCTCCTGTGCATGCTCAGCATCTTTGTCTCTGCCTATTTCCTGTATACTGTCAAAGGCAAGCTCAAACCTAAGAGCAAGACTGGCTTTACCCTGTAGTACCGACAGTGTCCTCCAGAATTATTGGCAGCTTTGGTAAGATGATGTCTCTCAGGTGATAGGTTACAATGAACATAAAAGGCTTTGTTGTTTATCATAATGAAAATGATTTGTTTAAAAAATAAATTCAAAAACACAACATGGTTGTTGCCACCCCTCCTTTGTGGATTCTGTTTAAATCAACCCAAAGGCCAAAGGACTAGAGTGACCCCATCAAAAGCTTTATTCTGTTGTCCATTAACCTTTTTTCTGTGGATTTTGAGATATGTTTTGGATTATTGTCCTGCCATGCCATCTAGCTATGGTCTACTCTTAGTCTCCTGGCAAAGGCGTGTAAGATTTGATCATAGAACCCAGTTGGAGTCAGTTCCTGTGATGTTTTATAAATCCCAAGTGCTTATGTTTGTGGTGTGACAAAAAATCAGACACTTTTGGTAAGCCAGGGATGCACAATTCCAGTCCTGGAGAGCCGGTGTCCAGCAGAGTTTGGAGGTTTCCCTGCTCAAACACATACGCTTAACCTGGCAATTAACAGATAAGTGTAATCAGGTGTGTTGGAGCAGGTAAATCACCAAACTGTGCTGAACACCGGCCCTTCAGGACCGGAGTCGTGCATCCATTTGCTAAGCCTTCCAAATGATTTGTTGCCATGGAGGTTGATATTTACGTGTAGACTTAAAGACTTGGGTTTGTAGAAAGTTATTTGTCTCTCGAATCATCCTCATACCCATTGTATCTTATTTATATGCCAGTGACGTATAACAGTTTTGATCAGATCTATGGTTTGGTGATTTTTATTAAATGCTGGATTCTTTTGTAGGTACATATACATTCCTGGAATGAAAGTCTACACTAGAATTTCTTCCAATCCATCAAACTGCTTTAATAGGAAGGGAAAAATTCTATGACAAACAGGATCCAAGCCCAATCAACTGCCTCACATGCATTTGTGGACCCGCCCATTATCCAGACTGTCTCCATTAAAGCTGCTGACGCCAGACATGGTAACATAGTGGGGTTGGATATGGAGGAGAAACTGCAAAGCTCACTTTTCTCCTTTGCTCTGAATGGTTTTATACACAGACAAAGACTACAAACTTAAAGCGAAGGAGTGAATGTAAATGCACTGAGATTGGACTCCACTCTGCCTTTTTAATCTTAAGAACTGCCTGATCTCCCTTGTTTGTTTATTTGCTTGCATCTGGGCGGAGGTGGGGGGGTCATCCCCATGATGCTGTGTGTGGCCCGCGTGCGACGTCTCCTTCGTCAGCTCACTCTCCAGACCAGCCTCTTCCTGCTCTTCCTCCTGTGCATGCTCAGCGTCTTTGTCTCCGCCTATTTCCTGTACACTGTCAAGCGTGAGCTCGAACCTTCCGCCGGAGGTGGGCCAGGGAACTGTGATGATGATTATGTCATCCCATCCAGGATCCTCCCATTTCGAGAGGAAGTGGGCGGAGCACCGGCAGCGGACGGAACCAGAACGGAACCGGTGGTTCTGGTGTTTGTGGAGAGCCAGTACTCCCAGCTCGGCCAGGAGATTGTGGCGGTTCTGGAGTCGGCCCGATTCCGCTATCAGACGGAGATTTCTCCTGGTAAGGGAGACATGCCCACATTGACAGATCGGGACCGAGGACGCTTTGCTCTGGTCGTGTACGAGAACATCCTGAAGTATGTGAACATGGACGCCTGGAACAGAGAGCTGCTGGATAAATACTGTGTGGAGTACGGAGTGGGAATCATCGGATTCTTTAAGGTCAGATATCCCGACTTACATTCCTTTCTCTCTTCCTTCTTTCTTCATCTCTCGCTTCCTATATTACTGTCACTTATTTTTCTCTTTTTTTTGTCTTTTTCTTCTCTTTTCGTCTTGTTTTTTTTCTTCTTCTATCTTTTCTCTGTCTGTCCTTTCTTTCTTTCTTTCTCTCTCTCTCTCTTTCTTTCTTTCTTTCTTTCTTTCTCTCTCTCTCTGTCGGTTTATATGACTAATGTGATATCCAGCATTATTATAGTCTGACCTCACCATACCAAATGGATTTAGAATCTGCTAATTTATCACTTTCACAGTCCATTTTAGCTCTGGTGGTTCTACACTGGGTGGGGGGGGCACACGGTAAGAGGGATCACTTGCATTACATCCTATTGTTCGCTGAGAATAAAAAACATAAACAACTGATAGCAGCTGTCAGTATCTGGGGGTTTACACAGGGTCTGACTTGTGGTCACAGAGGCACTGGCCCCACTTGAACCACCACTGTATTAAGATGCTCTCTATCTCTGCGCCCCCCCCCCACCCACCCCCATATACATGTAGGCAAATGAGAACAGTCTGCTCAGTGCTCAGCTGAAAGGTTTCCCGCTGTTCCTGCACTCTAACCTGGGTCTGAAGGACTGCACAGTGAACCCCAAGTCACCTTTACTGCACATCACTCGCGGCCAGGAGGTCAGTCCACATGCCCTCTAACGGGCTTTTTTGGCTCTTTTGTATGTTTTTATTAGCTAAAACTCTTGTTCATTACAACGGCTGATGGTTGGTTAGCATTGTAGCCTCGTTATAAAAAAAAACAAAGACTTGTTTGTTCCATTGATTTTTAGATGAGGCCTGCATTGTATTAGCAAAGACATACATTTGTGTGCAAACGTTTGCATACCTCTGGTTATATTACATTTTGGTTGATTTTCTAAGTGAAAATTTAGTTATGTTTTACATAAAACATTAATTTTTACAATACAATATATTGAATGTAACATATTGAGGAACCAATAAAATAAATTAAATGTGCATAACATTTGCCCATGCCACATTTTTAAATAAACAGTAATTGTGGGGTAAAATGTATGTTCTCTGTAGAGGATGTGTTAACTTATTTTCACTTAAAAAATCATGTGAAAACCATAATTTAATCAGCTGGACCCACACCTATATAGCTGTTTTTTGTGTTCCTAGTTTGATTCTTTAGTTTTGCTCTGGAGCTGATGTAGGTAAGTAAAGAAAGCTTATTCTATGAATTAGCGATGTGCATGCCTGAATCATCACACACTTGACTCTTCAGTGCAAAACTAAAGAAGTGGACACTAAACTTGTATTTGCTGATCGACCTTTGTGGTAAGGGGAAATTGTTCAGAAATTATCACTTTAAAGGGACACTCCAGTCAAAATGAAAAATGTATTGTTACATCCATTGTAAACTTGCCTATTTGCCTCCTAAAGTCGTGCCACAATGAGATTTTCCGATATATCGCTGTGGTAGGATTCCCAATGTTGTATGATGTATTTGCGTAATGCGTGTTATAGGTCCAAATGCGTCGTTAAAGGACCATTTCTGACTATTCTCAGGTGGTGAGAGGTCCCCTGCCTGGTGATGACTGGACAGTCTTCCAGTCTAATCACTCCACGTATGAGCCTGTACTGCTGGCTAAGACCCAGTCAGCAGAGAGCGTGGGGCTGCGTGCTGTTCTTCACACCTCTGTGGTGCAGGACCTGGGTCTCCATGACGGTATCCAACGCGTCCTCTTCGGCCATAACCTGGCCTTCTGGCTTCACAAGCTGGTGTTTGTGGATGCTGTGGCCTTCCTAACAGCCAAGAGGCTATCCTTGTCCCTGGACAGATACGTGCTGGTGGACATCGACGACATCTTTGTGGGAAAAGAGGGCACACGGATGAAGGTGTCTGATGTGAAGGTAAGAAAGTGCTGCACTGGGACTGACTGCTTTCTCTCTCTCTTTATTTGGGTCTTGCTGATTTGTTAAGGCCATTTCACACTCGCCCAACTAGACAAGACAATTAGAGGAGAGCGGGGATCAACTTAATGTGTGATAAAATGTAAAAAGGATATTTATGTAGCTCAGCAGGTTGAAATAGAAAGTATCTGATTGCTGTGAGAAAAAATCACAGCTGATAACCGAAAGCAGAGATTTCTTGTGACTTTTTATATCTTCAGAATTACTTCTGTACAGTCACATGCAAATGTTTGAACACCATCACATTATATTCAAGTGAAAGTAAGATAAGAAAAAGTAAGATAACTGAAGAATGAAGTACAGCTTTACGTTGTGCCCACTCTTCTCTTAATAATTTCTTCACTTGACCAATTATCAAGGTTGATGCATGTAACACTTAACTCTGTAGGCTACATAGGTGTTAATATACTTAGGTGTCAACAGTTTGATCAATCAAAGAAAATCAGAGAGCATAATACAGGAAATGTGAAGAAAGGTATATGTCTTCCGCCTTCTGTTGCTGACTGTGTTATCATTGACTGTGGATTGTTGTTCTAAGGCTTCCGTCTGGGGGTGACTATCTCAGTTCCATTCATCAGGGTTTTATAAACTAATTTTGCCTAGATTTGTTTATAACACATTTCCTAGCACAAGGTTAACAAGGTTCACTTTGGCTAAGACCTACTTTCTATTCTATGTTTAGCTTTTTTATACTTTTTTTACACTAAGTGATTTATTATTTAGGAGAAAAATGGATTCATGATGTATCTAAGAATCTGTTATTTTACCCATCCCTACTTCCTGCTGTGGATGAACACAGGGTACATGGCTGATCTTTGCTTGCTGTCTGAGGTGCAGCCCTTTAAAGTGGCTAGAAAGAAGGGTAAGGGAGAGTAGTTTAATGTAGGAATAGAGAATGTGAGCCAAGTTGAATGACAGATATGCAGATAGACTAAAAAAAGTCAACTTCAACTTTCTAAAGCACACATTAAAACAGCAAAAGCTGAGCAAAGTACTATTCATCAAATAAAACTGCCCAAGCAAAAATTGTACAGTTAAAATGAAAAAACTCAGTACAAAACCAAAATAGTAGAATTAGAAAATAAAAAGTAGAAGTATTTAGCCCCCTTAAGTCATCAGGTTAGTCTGGATTACAAATGACACATATACTGATTGTATCGTACAGTATTTTTATTGAACGTCTACACATTATTTTTCAAAGTCACAATTCATTGTCAGCAGATCTTTTTTTTTTAAATGCTTTAAAAGTGCTCAACCCCTTCAGACTAGTACTCAGTTCCACATCTGTCAGAGTGTGTTAGAGTAAGTTTCTACCAGCCTTTCACAATGTTTGGGAGAGATTTTAGCCCGTTTATCTTGGCAGGTTTGCTCCAGGTTGTTCTGGTTGGTTTGATGATGCGTGTGAACCACACTATTCAAATAGTGCCACAGATTGTCGATTGAATTGAGATCTGGACTTTGACTTAGACATTGTAAAGCATTTATCTTTTTATTATTCACTTACTCGTGTGTTGCTTTGTCTCTGTGCTTGGGATCATTGTCAAGCTGAAAGGTAAAAAGTTTCTCCCAAACTTCAGTTTTAGTAGATTGAAGCAAGTTGTCTTGCAGTATCTCCCTGAATTTTGCACAGTCCATCTGTCCTTCTGTTTTAAGAAGATGCCCAGTGGTCACTCTGGTGCTTTCTGGCAAACTCCGGATGTGTTTTGATGTGTGTTTTCTGTATTAATGGCTTCTTTCTAGCAACACTCCTATACAGGCCTGTTGTATACAGAGCTCTTGATACTGTTGACTGGTGCTCCTTCACTCCAGTCTCAACCACTGAACTCTGTAGCTCATGCGGAGTGAGTGTTGTCTCTTTGGCCTTCTCGCTCTAATGCTATGTTTTGAGGAACGTCCTTGTCTAGGCAGTGTCTGTGGGTATGATGCATTTTCTGTTTCCTTACAGTTGATCCAGTGGTGCTCACTGGGATATCAAAACACTTGGAGACTACTTTGCAGACTTTTCTTTTATTTCTTGTGGATGTCTGTAACTATCTTTAGTTTCCTTAGAATGTTTTTTGTCTTCATTTGTACACGTTTCCTTCTGATTCATAGTCCGATGATTGATCCTTGAATTAAAGCTGCCTTTCATCCAGAAAAGATTAACTTCTTTAATGATTCACAGGTAGAGGTCAATTGTAAGCCAGTTGTATCCTCGGTGGGGGGTATCTTGCATCTATGCAAACTAGAGAGCTTCCGCAGCAACTTTTGTCACAGAGTATTTTCTTTATAAAATCAATCACTTATGATTAATGGATTTTGAGGGTCAGTCTTTTGAAATAATATTTAACACAGCACAAAATATCGAAGTGTCATTAGTAATCCAGACAAATCTGATGACTTTTAAGGGTTTTGAATTCTTTAGAAGGTGTACTGTATGTGTATAGTGAAAGTTTCTGGTTGTGTTTGTATATGTGCATATGTGTGTGTGACTCATCGTCCTCTCTCTCTCTCTAGGCGTTGTTGGAGACGCAGAACGAGCTGCGGACGTCGATCCCAAACTTCACTTTTAACCTCGGATTCTCAGGGAAGTTCTACCACGCAGGTCAGTGATACATCAGACAAGCTTTATTTGTACATTTTTCACCTCCTCTGCTGCTACAGAGTTAACCGTTTCTTTAATCGTTGTTTTAGCTCATGTGCTCGTCTGAGGGAGTCTCCATTATTTTACTCATTCAAAATGAAAACCTACAAAATTCCCTTGGCTGTTATTTACCAATCAAATATGTTTAAGAATGTGTACCTCTGCATGGTACTGATTTTTTTTTTTTATTGTGTAACACTAATACTGTCACCTAAAAAGTAAAACAGCTTTACATTAATTTCCTAAATTCATTTTGTTTCATTTATTCATATATATATATATATATATATATATATATATATATATATATATATTATATATATATATATATATATATATATATATATATATATATATATATATATAAAATCAATTTTTTTTTTTTTTTTTTTGCAATGCACTTTTTTTTTTCTTTGCAATGCACTTAATATTCACCCACTGGCCACTTCTAGAAGTACACCTCAAAGTAAACACAGTCATTGTCCATTTTGTCAGCTCCATTTACTATATATGTGCACTCTGTAGTTTGAAATTACAGACTGTAGTCCATCTGTTTTTCTGCATACTTTGTCAGCCCCCTTTCACCCTGTTCATCAGTGGTCAGGACCCCCACAGGACCACCAAAAAAACAGGCATTATTTGGGTGGTGAATCATTCTCGGCAATCCACTGACACTGACGTGGTGGTGGTGTGTTAGAGTGTGTTGCGCTGGTACGAGTGGATCAGATACAGCAGTGCTGCTGGAGTTTTTAGTCTATCAACCAAAAATATTCAGCCAGCAGTGTTTTGATAAATGATACATGCTCAGTGGTGGTCCTCTGGAGATCCAGACTATTGAAGTACAGGGTCAAAAGGGACTAACAAATTATGTAGAGAACCAGATGGACTGTGTTGTAGAGCTATAAAGCGCAATTACATGGTAGGTAGACTGGAGAAAATGGACAAAGAGTGTAGATACAGGAATGAAGTGGCTGGTGTGTGTGTGTGTGTGTGTGTGTGTGTGTGTGTGTGTGTGTGTGAGAGACACATTTTGTTCGCCATTTATGTAGTGTATGTGTGTGCTTGTAGGCACTGATGATAATCAAGATGATGATCTTACTGCCTTAATATATGTATAAAGAAATGTGTGGGTGTGTGTAGGTGCTGATGAGTAAAACCTAAGCGCTGACATACTACTGTCCTCTATTAATTAGATTGTGTGTGTGTGTGTTTTGTGTGTAGGTACTGATGAGGAGGATCTGGGTGATGACCTGTTGTTGTCTTATGTTAATGAGTTCTGGTGGTTTCCACACATGTGGAGTCACATGCAGCCACACCGCTTTCATAACCAGAGCGTGTTAGCAGAGCAGATGCTTCTCAACAGACACTTTGCTGAGGTGAGTGTGTATACACACACACACACACACACACACACACACACACACACACACATACATACACTCACTCACTCAAACAGAGGGGAGGGGTCAGAGCACAGGCCCTGTAGAGATAATGTCACTTCCCAGGCTATTAGTCTGCAGCCTTCTAATTCAGACAGTGTGTAGAAACTGTTGTTTAGCTTTGAACTAGAGACGCACGTAATATGTATATACAATAGACTCTCATAGAAACTTTGTAGATTAGCCTACATTTAGATTGAGGGTTCTCTTAGTTCTAATGGATGATTTTGTGTCCAAATATCTACTTTTTGAATAAAAAGCTGCTGAAATGATTTGTCATTATGAGAACTCCCTGGCATTAAGGCTGTTCAATATGTACATTTTTATATATACATATTTTTTATTTTTGATAAATATGGTTACATGAAAATGCAAGAAATGTAATGTGTGTGTGTGTGTATATAGTGCCTGTAGCCAAAGCTAGAGTATTAAACTAGTGAAGTGCTTCAGTCTAATTCATCATACACTACTTTACTGATCCATCTAGATCTATCTAGCTCTATCTAGATCTTATCTTTTACAGTCAGTGTCAGAGTCAGCAATTTTCCAAGAAGTTGAGGAAGCTCTACCTCCTGTTGTTGGGTGTTGTTGGTATAAGGACTTCCTGTATCAAATATCCTGTATACCTTGATTTTCTGGACAAGTGTGGTACAGTTAAAAGTAAGCTCTGCAAGGAAGTTGAATTCCTTAAGCAGGTTTGGGTACCTCTGACATACGAGTGTGTTCGAGTAAAGCCCTTGATTAGTTTTAGAAAGGTAAAACTACTGTTATTTAAGTAATTACCAATAAGATTCAGTATGAATCTACAGTGTCTAATTTTTATTTTTTTTTAAGTCTGACAGTAATAATTCATGTGAATAGTCTTTAATAATTGTCTAAACCTGAAGTTCCTTCAGCTCCAGTCTCACGCTAATATAATAATAAAACCTGTTAGCAGACACTACTGTGCACTGAGTTGTTTTTCTATTGCGTGTAGTGCTGGACCTTTCAATCTCAGCAATCTGTGGTAATTTGGAGAAATTGCGCAGATACTTGAAGCTGAATTCCTCTGTGTTGATTTAGAAGAATCCCCATGCCAACTTGTCTCACATTCAGACAAACAAGTAATTAAATAGAATATAGACGAGGAGATGTAATATGTTTAAAAAAAAAGTAAAATAGTGTAAGTCGGGAAGATGTAAGGGCATTCCAACAATACCTTTTCAAGCTCTCTGAAGCATGCTCTTCAAACTCGCTGAAGCAAGCAACACAAAAAAAAATATTTTGTGCTTGGCATCCGCGAAAGAGCTCCATACATCAGCAGCTGAATATCAAGGGTGCTTTCATTGTAGTCACTCGTCCAGCATAGAGGAATAGCTAGTTTTGCCTTACACTCCCATGCTAGTTTTGTCTTGAAACACAATTAATTATATTTTTGTGTTTTTGTGTGTGTGTTTTGTCATAGATGTGTCTACAGTTTCTAGTTGTTATTATTATATAGGTTCTGGGGCCCTTGGTCAAATTATGTTTTGTTTTTTTCTCCAAGTGAGAATAAGTGAACACATCCTCTTCAGAGAACACATTTCTGCACATTTATAATGCACAGTTACTGTTTACTTTTTAAAATTAATTTAATTTTTGAAACATAAATATTTTGTTTTTTTTCCCCAATATGTTAAACTAATAAATAAACATTTCACTGAAATTTGAAGAAAATTGCCATATTTAAGACGATTTAGATGATTTGTTAACTTATTTTTACTGAGAAAATGAGCAAATCATGGAATTTGACCAGGGATGTTTGGACTTTTGCAAAAGACTGTGTTGTCCCAGTCTTACTTACTAGTCAATCAAAAAGAAGTCAGAAGAAGAGTGACACTGTATATTTAATGATGTGTTTCTGTTTGTGAATATGCAGGAACACTCTATCCCGACTAACCTGGGTTATGCAGTGGCACCTCACCACTCTGGTGTATATCCTGTGCATGAGCAGCTGTATGACGCGTGGAAGAAAGTGTGGGGAATCAGAGTGACCAGCACAGAGGAGTACCCTCACCTCAAACCGGCCCGCTACCGCCGCGGCTTCATCCACAGCGGCATCAGCGTGAGTGTGGACACAACGACAATGAACTAAAGTCAGCACACTGTCGCTCACAATATCAAAATGATTTCGTTCTCGCTACTGTGATAGAATTTTTATATATTTTAGGATGTGCATGCTTTGCTTTTTTTCATTCGCTTTATCACTCACACATAGGGTGCGAAACAATTTGATATGGTTTGCTGCAGTACAAATTAATACAAAATGATGTGCTGCCATACAGTATGTTACAACACGTTTTGCTGCAATACCATTTGACACGATACATCACAGTACATTTGTTGTGATACATTAGTGATACACTACCGTACGACACACTGCAATACTATTCAGTACAATATATTTTACAATATAAAACAGTACAATGTGATACCCTGTTATGCAAATTGATACAATTTTATTGTTCAATTTGAAAATTTTTCGATACAGCGAAAATAGGGTGGCTGAAAATTTCCATTTTCAGTCTATAAGATTATTCAGCGTTAATAAAGGTGCAATATTTTTTTTAACAATAGCTGTGCTTTATATTGTCCCGATCTAACGCTCCAGTTACGAGTTAATGTTACCCAGAGCTAACACATTAGCTACAAGCTAACATGCTAGTTACCACAAAACAATACCATACCATGTGATAGTTCCAATTTATTACACTGTGATACAATTCCATAAAGTACAGTAGGCTGTGATACAGTATGATATGTTATGGTGCAGTTTGAGACAGTGTGATTCAATACGATAAACTGCGTTGCAGTACCATACAATGCAATACACTCTGATAGTTTTATACAATACATGCTGTGATTACAGTTTGATACAATTTTATACAATACGCTGCGATGCAATTCGATACAGTACGATACCCTGTGATAGTTTGATACAATACACTGATAGAGTTTGATACAATACATTACAATATGATTTGCTGTGATACAGTGCAATACGCTACAGTACTGTTCAATACAACATGATTCTCTGCTATAAAATGTGGTACAGTGCGATACCTTGTTACGCCTAGTTATGCAGTTCAATACAATTTTATACAATATCATGTGCTGTAATACAATACCCTGTGATGGTGTTATACAGTTTGATACACTGCGAAACAATATAATAACCAACAATACAGTTTGACACAGTGTGATGAGACAATTCAGTGCAATATAATACTCTCCTACACAATTTGATGCAATACCATATGCTGCAATACAATTTGATCCAATACAAAATACTGTGATACAATGCATTATATTGTTTCATCCCTAATTTTCCAAATACAGTAGATGACAATATTTCGTGTTTGTGATGTTGTACAGACAATCAAGAACCAGTAGTGCCAAACCTAATAAGACTATTTGCATTCATTGTTTCACATACTGAGCTAAATCCTTTAAACAAAACTAACTATTCTCTCTTTGTAAAGAAAAATGCAGTTAATAATTTTTACTTATAAACTATATGTGCAATATACTTAAAAAAAAATAGTGATATAATTTATCATAATGCTAAATATCGTCACATTCCCACTCTTTTATCTCTCCCTACTAAATTCTTCTCTTTGTTTGCTGTTTGTTTTTCATTCATTTTCACTTTCTTGCTCAGTCTGACACACACACACACACACACACACACACACACACACACACACACACACACACACACACACACACACTTCCATCCTCATTCTTTTTTTGTTGAGCTGTTACAGTACTATTCTCTTTCTCACCTCTATCTCAGCTTCTTCTTTACTCACCCTTTAACCTCTACAGTGCTAATAATTGTAATAAACTCAGTGGATTTACTCTCCAGTTTCACCCCTCTTCACTAAAAATGTCAAATTTGGCTTGTTTGTATCATTTTCTTCCGTCTGTCTTCCTCCTGGCTTGGTTTCACCCCCCTGCTGGCCCCCCGTGTGATTGTCCTTGAGGCAGAGGAGGCAGAAGGACAGCGGAGAGTGGTTAGCTGATTGCTGAGAGCAGATTTATATTCACATCTGTGTGTGTTCTGCCTCTCATTGATTTTCATATAGACCCCCCGAGCTCATGAATGCTCTGAGAGAGATTATGAATATTGCATTAGGCCTCGCTCTATTTATTGCAGGGGAGAGAAAGAAGCTCACACTTCCCCTTAGCCCAGGAGAGTGGTATATGTGGGTGGATAGAGCAAGTGTGTCCAGAGGTGTCCAGGGTATTTTCAGAAATTGCATTCACACAATGCTAATTGTGAGGCTAACCTATTACCATTTCCCTCTTCAGGTGCTGCCCAGGCAAACATGTGGTCTTTTCACTCACACTATCTTCTACAAGGATTACCCTGGAGGCCCTCAGGAGCTGGACAAGCTCATCGACGGAGGGGAGCTCTTCCTCACTGTACTTCTCAACCCAGTGAGTACCTTTTCACAACCCCCCTGCCATTCAGACGTGTAACAGATGGGTCAGGCCAAGAAACCAAGTGGACACTGAGACATGTTTTGGGAGTCAAAATGAGGCCTCTCACAATCATGAAATTTTAGCTGACAGTTAATTGCTATGTAAATAATTGTGACAAGCAATCTAGTTTCCTTGTCTGTCTCCCAGTAATATACTGTCAAGCCCAGTAATGTAGAGCAAAAAAAAAGCAGTACACAGCATTCTCCTTCATTTTCCACCTAAAATAAACAGATTATGTCCTGATAATCATCCATTTTCACCGTTGATGCTGTCACCATAACATTTTTGTGACAGGATGCTGCTGTCACTCATGTGCCGCTAAGAAGCATAAAACTTGTTTGTTTTTGTTGTTGTTTTTTGTTTTTTTTCCCCCATCTGCAGCAGGTAAACGCAGCATTAAAGTACAAGCTTAATTTGGCCAAACTGGCTGATTAGCTCTCTTGCTTCTTAGCTGTCTATACTTAGTATTACTCAACATTGTCCTCTGATGGTGTTACAAACATCAAATAAACATCACTCACCACTGTCATCTAAAGACATTAAATAAACATTAAGGGCATAAATAAATGTTTATTTTATTTAGAGCTATTAGCATCACTACTGCCCTCTATGTTATGTACTATATTGTCCTACAAGGGAAATTTGTCATTTTGCTGCCTAACTATGCCCAAAATGGGAGCAGCACAGCGTTGCCAGCAGAGCAGCACTGCCTGGGGCAGTGGGAGGTTGAGTGACTTGCCCAAGGGCACAACCAGGTATACATGGTCAGTCGTGGGAACCCGCAGCCTTCCAGGCTGATGGCTCACTGCTTCTACCATTAGGCTACCAGCCACTGGCCACCTCTAAGGGTGTTATAAATACACATCAAACATTAGTAACCACTGCCCTCTAAAGGTATGAACAGCAACAAAACAAACATTAGTCATTGCTGTCCTGTAAAGGTCAAATAAACAAACCCCAAGTCAGAATTTGTTTGTTTTCGTTAGACCTGTATTTTGTCTCAAATGTGTTTCTGCTTTCTTTTGTTTAAAAGCATTTGCCTCAGTCCAAGTGATAAAAATTCATCCAGTTCAGTTCTGTTTGTTCCAATGTAAACATGTCAATTGTGAATGCTAACAAATGTGGAAAATAGTGTGCTCATCATCAATCATCAATTGCGATCAGAGGAATGTTATAATAATTAAGACAGGCCTAGTCATAAAATCAAAATTTGGCTTTTTATTTTTATCATTCGTAGTAAAGAACATGCTGGCATAACTACACTGTTTATCCACATGACAGGTTAAAGGGTGTTATAAAATGTACATATGTTCAATACATTATCATTTATAGAGGTTTTTTTTATTATCACTATATTTTGAATAGTTTATTAATAATATTCACAGTAAACAGTTCTTCTGACAACTGAAGTGGCTATGGTTGCCAAGCAACCCAACACTTAGAGATCAGCACAATGTCTAGTTACTGTGTAAGTTATAATACAGAAATTGACTGATCTGTGTGGCCATATATTACTACATCTAGTATTTTTGAACATGGCTCAGCAAATCAGATTTTACGGCCAAGATTGTCCATGTTATAGTTATATATATTTTTAATGTAAGACTCTTCAGTAACAGTTGACCAAGGCCACAGTGCTTTCCTACTTTGAACTGTCTAAGCTGGGGGACTAAATTCAATAGAGAAGCGTGATTGTATTGATACCTGTTCTGGGCCCAGTGCCAAAGCGTGTGGAACGCCACTTCACCTGAAGCTTCATTAGGGACTAAATCCAGTGCTGATCTAATGATGTGCTAATTAGTCTGTGGTCCACAGGCACACGACTGGCTTTGTATGATGAATGAACAGTCCACTGTAGTGCAGTAGAGAACAGTATAAACATTGGTGAGCTGTATATTTGACCCTTACCTAATGAGCTAGTCTCTCACTATTGATCAGAGTGATCAGTAAAAGGAGTTTGATCAGTAATGTCATTAAGGACAATTTACCACACTTGTTTTCTCCCTCTGTGTGTTTATCTCCTTTTACTCACAAACCTTTTCAAACTTTGTGTTCAGAATTTCCAAACTGCAGTAACTAAGCAGCCAGTCTTTTGTACATTGTGAGTTAACAAGCATGCCTGTTCCAAAATCTGAACTGCTGATTGACTGTCTAACCCATCTCCCACCACTCCTTTCCAGCTCATTACACTCATTACACCCATGTTTAAAGGGCTCATATCTCGGAGAACTGAATTTTACTCACATTTGTGTAATAAGAGTTTGACGTGGTATGTAAACAGTATTAGACATACCATACACTCTTCAGTTTAATTTGAAGGGATAAAGAGAGGTTGGAAAATGGTCAAGTAAAAATGAATTATGACTGTTTTTGTTCTGACACAAGTGGACCGCAAGGGACAAAATTAAATGCACAAAAAAGTAGCATATGGGCCCTTTAAGCCACATCCACTTAGGTTTTTTCATGTAAAGGTAGGTATTATAAAAAGAATATTTAAGTAGTTCAGGAATCGGTTTCGAAGTAAAGGGTTTGTTATTGGTAAATGATACCCAGACCTAGCAACAAGTCTAAACTGTCTGAACATGGTCCTAAATAAGATAAATCTCTCTCTCTCTCTCTCTCTCTCTCTCTCTCTCTCTCTCTCTCTCTCTCTCTCTCTCTCTCTCTCTCTCAGATCAGCATCTTTATGACTCACATGTCTAATTACGGAAATGACCGTTTGGGGCTGTACACTTTTAAGAAGCTGCTGCATTTCGTGCAGACATGGACTCACCTAAGGCTGCAGACGCTGCCCCCACTCCAGCTCGCTCACAAATACTTCAGTCTCTTCCCCTCTGACAGAGAGCCAGTCTGGCAGGTGGGTGTACAGTGTGTATATTGGTGTGTATTAACTTTGTATATTTATTAATAGGGGTAATAATACACACAGGTCGACAAATCAAAAAGTCACAAGACTGCACTTAAAATGATGCAGCTATAACACACATAAAACAGGTCTGTAAAGCACCAAAACTCATACAAACAAAGCACGTAAAACTCACACATATAAACCTCATTTCCAAAAAGTTAGAACAGTATGTGAAATGCTAATTAAAGCAAGAAGATTTGCTTAGTAAATTCAGTTCGACCTGTATTAAATTGAAAACAGCACAGAGAACACAATATTTGATGATTATCGTTGTTTGTAAATATATACTCTTTGTAAATTCGATGCCTGCATTCTAAACATTCTAAAAAAATGAAAGAGAAGCAAGTTTACCACCTTTTCTTTTAAAAAAAAAATAATTTAATAGTTTGGGGACTGAAAACACCAATTAATAGTTTTGGAAGTGGAATTTTTTGCCATTATTCTGTTAGGCAAGTCTTGCCACACTGTTCAATGGGAGATGTTCCACAGCCAGTTGTTAAAACGCGTGTAAAATGTGACTTGGCCTTGTCATGCTGAAATAAGTATCGATGTTCCTGAAAAACAGGACACAGAAGCAGTCCTGTTTTTAATGCAGTGCTGTCTGAGGGATTCAAGGTGACAGGCATTTAGTTGTGGTTTTTGGCCTTGCCCCTTACGCACAGAGATTTCTCAGGATTCCCTAAATGTTTCAATAATTTTATGAGGTTCCTTACTTGTGGTTAAATTATTGGATAATTCACCAAGGTTTTTTTTTTCTTGACCCATACTTGCTCATGAAGAAGTCAGCCTTTCCCTGATGCTGATTTGATAGCCATTTCAGATTGCATGACCTGTTCATTTTTTTTTAAATGATTTTCTGAAGAAAATCATAGTAATTTACAGTGACAGTGAGTAATTAAATGTAATCACTGTCAGAGATTGTGAGAAGTGTGCACTGTAGATGTGTGCGTCTGTGTTTTATGCAGCATGTATGTAATGTAGTGCTCCTGCATTCCTCTCTCCTGCTCAACTAATGATCAAACCCTAAGTGAGCTGAGTCAGGTGTGTTACAACTGAACTACAGCAGAAGTGTGCAGAGCCTGAGGCTCTCCGCACTGAGAGAGAAACACTGAGGTGCTGTGTGTGTGTGTGTGTGTGTGTGTGTGTGTGTGTATGAGGGGATGTGGGACCAGCAGCATCTGATTATTGAGCTGAAGTTGAAAGAGTCCCAGGCAGAGGAGAGAAGGAGAGAGGGAAATGTGAGAGAGAGAGAGAGAATATCGTTAGGGTTACAGTGCTGTGTAGCGTCTAGCTCTGCGGCCGGCAGCCCTTCATCAGAGAGCGTGCCGTTTGTTATTCATTTCTTTTGTTTCTCTCTCGTAGTTGCGTAAGAGCTCTATAATGTGGTTGAGTGTGCTTCTGTTCTCCTCATTCCACTCTGTGTGTGCGTGCCCTGTTTCTTCTTCCCCCTCTAATCATTTCTCTTATTCATTTTGTTTTTACTCAAAGGATTGAACAGTAAAGCTCTTGTGGGGTGTGTGGGTGTGTGTGCTCATCACCTGACACCGATTTTACCACAAACACGCACATCGTCTCTAACTGACTAACTGGAAGGCACATGCTTTAGTCATTTATGGAACTGGCTCTCCTGGCCTTCATTAAAGGCATACTCAATGGTTTAGGTGGAAGTTAACTAACTCTACTTGTTTTGAAACACAACAGCCAAACAAACAGGTAGGGCTGGAATCAGTTCCAAAGAGAGTTAATGTTCTGATTACAGGCATTTTGAAATAGTGTTGACTCCAACAGCTCGAATTGAAGCTGGAATCTATTCCACATATTTTGCCCAGCATTATCCATTTGCCTACGTTCACATGTGCATGAAGCACATATATGTTTGAATATGCATGAAGAGTGTCAGTGTATGTTCCCCATATAAAGTGCAGTTTGGTTCCCATTTTGGAGTTACACAGCCATAAAAAGCTGGAGAATTTATGGAAAATCTGGTCTAATGCAGCGTCGCCATAAACTCTGGACTATAATGTTGTGCTCCAATTAGTTTTCTAGTTTTCTGTTGTGTTTGTTTTTTTTCCCCTTTTTTTTTAAAGATGTACTGGACTGAGAGGTAATCTGAGACTGCAGGTAATCAGGTATGAGCACAGGTATTCTGATTTATGTCAAGTTCTTTTGTTGCATACACACTGTACACAGACTGGTAGTGCCTCATGTGAGAAACGAGCCTGATTGTAGAAAAAAACATTAAAGTTGCTGCATCTGGAGAGTAACTTACTTAAAAATGCATTAACAGGGATTTGGTTACCCCTCATTCTCACTTTGCAGACGATACTAGATCATAGATTTTTGTTCTGTCGGTTCATTGCAAAGCACAGCCTGACTTTGCCCTCTTTCTCACTTACTCTCTTTGTGTATGAATTAAATACTGTGATTACAAGATCTTACTTGCTGTTGCTGCTAATGATGTCTACCATTGAAATGTTCTATAGGGGTATTAGTGAATGTGTACAATTTGGAGGCACATTTTCCCCCATTTCGGAGGTCTTCTTTAGAGTTTGTCTTTTGGGTATGTTTGCAACACACTGTTGATTATTATTATTAAGATTATTATTATGATTATTATTATTACACGACGTGACGTAAATGTAAAACTCTACTTTACCTGAAAATACAAACATGCGGCATCTAGAAGATGAAGAATATTTAAATCCTTCATTTCTTCAAGCATGGTGTTGGTTTCAGCATCTCTCAAAGTGTTTTGTTGCCATTTCGCAGGCACTGTGTTAAACACTGCTTACTTGGTTTTGGTACCGCGGTCTGTTTTTGCATATGTGCCATCTGAGAAATCCAACAGAAAACAGAGTAGGAGTGTACATGCACCAAGAAATCCTTTTACTGAGCTAAAATCCAGCTCTCTTCATCGCGTTTCTTAATCAAGTAACCAAACTGGCTACTCAGCACCCACATCCCACTCTGTTAGCTTCAAGTAAGCTTTCTCTTGCGCAAAAAGAGACATACTTCTCTTGCAAATATGTTCTCTTACAAATATGGGGCTAGAAAAGTGTTCTTTGAGCTCTGCCATAGAGGAGCCACTTTTTCCGTATTTCGTCTTTTTGTTTCACAGCCACTGGGTTAACTTCTGTTGCCTATGCATCGCTTTGCCTTCATTTATTTCATTTCCAGTCAAAACTGCCATTAATAATAAGTTATTCCTTTTATAGTGTAAAAAAAAAAAGAAAAAAAACGAACAGAAAATCACATAGAAGCCACAACTGTTGAGCTCTGCGGTGGTCAGTGTATTGTTATGTGAATGCCAGTAACTTTTTTTGTTTGATTTGATAATTTACTTCTTTTCTAGATTAAAAGGTAATCAGGTATGAGCACAAGTATTCTGATTTATGTCAAGTTCTTTTGATGCATGCACACTGTACACAGACTGGTAGTGCCTCATGTGAGAAACGAGCCTGATTGTAGAAAAAAACATTAAAGTTGCTGCATCTGCAGAGTTTTTCTTAAGTGTTCTTTTTTCAGTAAAGGCTGCTTGAAACTTGAACAAAAATGGAGCTTAATTTCTCTTTAAGAATCATGATTTTCACTTTAACTACCATTTACCTGATGGTGACCATTTTGGTGGCCTGCCAAGTCTTGTATGGTTGTTAGGAGGCCCATTTTCTCTACATATTTTAATCATTTAAAATCATGGAAACTCCTGCTATTTTTCACTTACTTTAACTTTCCCCTTCCTTATGCAAGTGAATTATCTTATCTAATCACCTCAGAAAAGTCTCTTTGAAAATGAATGTCTTGTACTTAATGGGTGTTTTGACTGAAAATACAATGGTTGGTTGTCTTTTGTACAGTACTTTATCTTATTGACTGCTGAAATATAAGGAAATTTCACCAAGTAGCTTTAAAACCACATTAAAATCAACAAACTAAACACAGTCTGTAGAAATTCCTTATTGAGGGCGGAAAAATCTTTTGATCATACTTTGATTCATCTTTTCAGAAATGACACGTAGTCATTTACAAGAAGTAATGCTTTCAGATTTGGAACTGGATTTTTCAGAACAGGATTTTTAATTTTCATTCCAGGGTGATTGACACCATGAACTGTAGTGTTCATTGACATTTGCCTCACTGTGCTTCTGTCAGAGTTAGTTTGATGGTATTATTAACTGGAGGTGTTTTCTTTTGAATGTGGCTGATGACTCAGTGATGATATGTCTGTGGTTATCATCATTTAGTGATTCATACATTCGAGTCTAAAAGACTGTCCGTTCCTGTGTGTGTTTGTCATATGGTTGTCGATGCAGAACAAAGAAATGCTCTGTTTAGAATTTCCATTCAAACTCAATGTATTAGAAACTGCCCTGGATTTTTATTCACGACAGAACCTTCACTCTTATTATGTGAAATCTTCTAACCTCGTCCTAACTCAGAATAGTTTAAAGGCACTGCGGTGTCTTTAGATCATTTGGAGAATCATTTTGTTCTCTTTTGTAATGTTTCAGAACCCCTGTGAGGATAAGCGACACAAGGATATCTGGTCTAAGGAGAAAACGTGTGATCGCTTCCCCAAGCTGCTTGTAATTGGGCCACAGAAAACAGGTGAGTGCCCAGAGCTCCCCCTGCTGTATTTCTTGTGTGCTACACCCACAGCCCTTGAGGCCAATCATTTGCAGCTGTTTGCAAATCAGTTCAGTAGTTGTACTGATTGGTAAAGCTGCTGATAATTTAATGTATTGTGTTGTTGTCTTTCAAATAGTAATTATTTTGAACAAATGTAACTTATATTTGAATATTCATTTAATGGTATCCCTGTTCAGTGAATTGAGAGAGATCATCATTAGTGTTACAGTGCTGTGTAGCGTCAGGCTCCACGGCCGGCAGCCAGATCAGTGCAGTTCAGTGCAGTTGTGTTTCGGCACTCAGCCTTCCGCTCCCTGTTCCTGTGCTGGTGTGAGATCAGCATGTATATGTGTATGTGTTTACGTATGTATTTAGGTATGTATGCAGTCATATACAAAAGTTTGGACTCATTATGGTCAAATTACATGTTTTGTTGATTTTATAATTGAAAAAACTCATCCTCAATAGGGAGCGTACTTAAATATAGCGTTAGTATTTTCACAGGCCACCATTAAAATGTGTAGAGGTGTTCTCTATTGAGAAAGTGTCAACAAAACATGTCATTTGACTAGGGCACCCAAACGTATGACTGCGTGTATTTGTGATTGTTTTATAGACTGGGTAGCCCATTCATTACCTCCAGACAGGGATACAGAAAGGGAAGGTGTTGTAATTTCAGGGTGCTGAAATTGTAAACAGCATCATGCTAAGGTTTATAATAATGTACTATAGATGACAGTACAGCTCCTAATATATAGCTGACACAGAAGCCACTGATGCACACCCTACACGCTCTGCTGGTTGAACTTTATGCAAACGAGCTGATCTACAACCAGTCAGATTGTAGACAACTGATTTGTGTCACACAGTCAGGCTACACATTGAAGATGTATTACCTGAATGCACAAAATGTGAGAATTTTTATTCAGATTTCATTTATTACTTAGCAATTCAGGTTAAATAATTCTGAAATCTGGGGGTGTTGCATCGTACCCCTCCTGCCTGCATCCCTGTTTCCAGATTACTTAATACTTTTTCTTCTCTTTTCCTCCACTCATTTCTTGTTCTGTCAGGGACAACAGCCCTGTATCTATTCCTGGGCATGCACCCTGACCTCATCAGCAACTACCCCAGCAAAGAGACATTTGAGGAGATTCAGTTTTTCAACGGGCACAACTACCACCGGGGAATAGACTGGTGAGAAATGCTCTGGGCTTCCTTTGCCTCTCTGCTTCAGCCTTAGTAGCACATTCAGATTCAGGATGAGAATATCTCAAATCCATAAAGTTTTCTGTGGAGTTTACAGGTTACTCTTTAAATTAGTTTTAAAAGTTATATTCTGTATACATTCATAATACTCACTGCACATCTCTGTTATTGGCTACCTAATTTTTTCTTAAGTTATATCCTTAGTTTTAATTATTAAATTTTTTCTCATTGATTTGTTTTATAGTATAGCATGCTTACTTGGGCTTAATCCCATTTCTTATTTTTAACCCCTACCCCTTGATTTCGAATCTGTCACCTTGCACTTTGGAACTGAGTTACAAGGGGTAGTAGCTGAAATCGTCCTCTACAAAATGGGACAACCCTCAAATAAAAAAGAACATTGCTTCACTAGTGGGCTACTAGCGGTTCTCTGTAGGCGACCCTGCCAGTCTGTAGTGATAGCAGAGGAGCGGTAAAGTTCAGCAGCCTCACTGCTGGGCTTTAGTTACATTCAGGGAATCAAATGCCTTCAAATTGGCAGGGGTGTGGCAATTATTTATTATTGCCCACCCATAATTCTTCGGTGATATGAAGCTGAAGTCAGCTATTCGTTAGCTTCTTGTTCATTTTCCTGTTCCACCTTAAATGGTGCAACAGTGCTGACGGCTGATGCTATTTAAGGTGGAACGGGAAATTTTGCTGGCTAGCTACCGAGACATCAGCATAGTACTAGAGATTTTTGAGGAAATTATTTTGAGATTTATGAGGAAAAGGATAATACATTGAAATAAGATTAAACTAAAATAACACCATATTTATCGCAACTTTTGTTTTTTTTTCTCCCGCATAACACTCCATTTAGAGTGTGCCTCTGAAAAACCGCCATTTGGAGGGCCTTTTAGACTCAACACTTTGCCCTACTCCTCTATCTCAACAAAAATTGGGGAACATACCCCTAGACATGAATGTGCAAAACAGAGGGCTAAGGGCTAAATGGTAGGGGCGAGGGATAAAATGAAATTAGGGGAATTGGGGAAATAAAATAAAACTCATACCAGATAACAAATAGAAACTGTGCACTAAAATCCAAAGAAAATGCTAAGTTTGTTATATTTAAGTCTGTAGGGGATTTGTTAACTTATTTTCACGCAGAAAATCAATGCAACGTGTGACTGGACTAGAGACATTAAGACTTGCATATGGTTTGTACATGTTTGAGAACTAAAAAATGTAAAGGTAGGCCAATTTAAAGCACACAAAGTCTTCTGGAAAACATGTTTACCTTAAACAAACCTGAGGAGTTTTGTCTGTGCCTGTATGTTTCAGGTATATGGAGTATTTCCCTCTCCCCTCCAACACCAGCTCAGATTACTACTTTGAGAAGAGTGCTAGCTACTTTGACTCTGAAGTAGCAGCAGCCAGAGCAGCAGCCCTGCTCCCGAAAGCTAAAATCGTCACAGTCCTCATCAACCCTGCTGAGAGAGCCTACGCATGGTACCAGGTAACGCTCTCTTTATGGCTATAAACCTCCAAGAAAACAAGAGAAAAGTAAAGATTTTGACAAATCAGTACACGTCACACTGTTTAAGACTAATGTTAATTAATATCTGTGGTCATGGTTCTTAGCACTAATACTTCAAATTAAAGTAGCTTTAAATCTAGCTGTCTCGACTGGCTGTAATATCCTTTTTCATCAACTCCTATTTACAGAGCAATCAGAAAGGCCTCAGTGTCAAATGTCAAGGTTTTATTTCGAGGACACATTGCAAGGTCTAGATGCCCTACTGACTCATTACACGTTATTCACATATTTCTTCCCTTTCAGCACCAGAGAGCTCATGATGACCCAGTGGCTCTGAAATACTCTTTCCATGACGTCATCACCGCATCCCACAGTTCTCCTGTGAAGCTGCGTATCCTACAGAGCCGATGTCTGGCGCCGGGTTGGTACGCGGTCCACCTGGAACGATGGCTCACACACTACCACTCTAGTCAGGTGTGTGTGTGTGTGTGTGTTTTACATTTCAGTGCATAAGCTTAGAGCCTCTTTTGTAGTGCTTTTGTAAGGCTTTGTGGCTAAATAATTCTGCAATAATTTTTGTGTAGATCATGGTTGTGGATGGGCAGATGCTGAAAACTGAACCAGCATCAGTCATGGATAAGGTGCAGAAGTTTCTGGGACTTGTGAACGCCATCAACTATCACAAGATCCTGGCGTAAGTTCATCACCATTCAGTCATGTTCTAAACATGTCCCTTTCAGCTGTGCTTTATCTTGACCTTGATCACTTTTAACACCTAGAAGTTGAAAATTCTTTCATTTTGCTTTGCAATTCAAATGTAAATACTAGTTTTGTAGTCATAACCACTAGAGGTAAGTATAAGTCAAGACTGATGCCTGGACATATTGAGTCTGATTCTTATAACGCCTAAAAATACATTTTAAAATCATAAAATGTCTGAAAATGTTTTGTTTTACTGTCAGATATATTAGTTAGGGATGTCTTTCCTTGCATGTTTTAATGGATCAGATAGACTAAAGCAAGTCCAATCCAGTTCTGTCTGTTTTTCTTTTTTTTTTTTCAAGACATAACACAAATGTGACCAATAATTTTTATGCAAAACAAGACTGCATACAGTAACTTTTTAAAGTTCACATCAATAAAATATTTCCTTCTCTGCTCACAAACATGAGTGTTGTTCCAATAGAAAGGGTAAAATCTGCACTTTCAGCTGAATTTCTCAGTTTGTTTCAGTGTTTTCATCACTATCTGTGACTTCTGTATATTATGGCAGTCACAGTTCTTCCAAGAGCTCTCCAAATTTGTAGAAAACAGCATTCTGTGTTATTAGGAAATAGTGATAACTTTTACACTTGATTTTTTGTGAAGGTCTTCCTTCATCTTTACAACTTCAGAGATACAAGATACAAATCCTAACAGTAACATGAAGATGAAACCTTTTGAAGCTCTAATGACTGTTTACACTGTCAGTGACTCTGAACAGTGGCATTAAAACCCTCATATATTTGTGCAAGGCTGGTTTAGAAAGTGTCCGTAAGCTTCCTGGACACCTAAAAAGAAGGTATTAAAATATATAAAGCATATATCAAGTATAAGTATATAAAAGCTCATATAAAAACCTTTCAAAATTGCAGGGTATGGATTTAATATAGATAGAATGAAAGGTGATAAAATATTAATGAACTCATGAACGCGATCAAATGTGCTGTGATGCATCTGTGCAGGTTTGATCCTAAAAAAGGTTTTTGGTGTCAGCTCCTGGAGGGAGGGAAGACGAAGTGTCTGAGGAAGAGCAAAGGAAAGAGATACTCAGATATGGACTCAGAGGTACAGTATCTCTGCCTGCATCATGCAGCCTTTACTGTCCCTGGACATTTGTCACTGTACAAACAAAATTAGAAGACACTTATCACAACTGCTCCGTGTTCAAAGACATTTCGAGAGAAATGACTGAACGCAGCCGTAGGACAGCAAGGCTGCAGTGTCAAAGAAAAGTTAAATATCTGAAAGCAAAGTCTAAAGAAAGCAAGGACACTAACTAAAGAAGTGGCCATGGCTGAATAATATGCCCTTTTCACAGGGAGCTTGAACGCAGAGCTTCTTATTAGCGCCTGTAAAGCTGCCGAAGGTGAAACTGAAACCTCCGGAAGCGTCTGTTACTGTTGACTCCATTTTGAATGTGTGTACCTCTGGATGATTGTGCCGCATGAATACATTGTTCTTTTGTGCATGCAAGTCAGTTTAGGAGCGTGCTCTGTTCAGACTAATATCACTTGTAGGTCACATTTAAAAGACATTGTGAACAGCCAAACAATAAAATTAGATTTGTTGAGAAAATCTCTTTTGTGCCACTTTCACCTGCTGTGTGACCGTAGCCTTAGTGCCTTTTCATAGGAGTAGACTGACAATAATTATTATCATCATAATGCATTGCATCACACTTTACAATACAGTATGAAAATGTTTGGGTACCCCTGATCAAATTGATTTTCTAAGAGAAAATAGGTCAACTCAAACGCGACATCGCTCTGCAATTTTTTGTGAGTTAAACGTGGGAGGGAGGGTCATCCTTCTCACACAGGCAGAGAAAGGCCAGTTATTCTGTCAAGTCAAAGTTTCTTTATATAGCACATTTTACAACAGGCGTTCTCACAAAGCAGCTTTACAGAAAAATTCAGGTCCAAGCCCCCATGAGCAAGCCAAAGGCAACTGTGGCAAGGAAAAACTGCCTAAGAGCAAGAGGAAGAAACCTTGAGAGGAAACAAGACACAAAAAGGGAACCCATCCTCCTCTGGTCAACACCAGATAACAAACAATAACAAGAGCAATATAAACAGAGATTTTTTTTTTTTTTTTACCTTTGGTATAATATATTAAAATACAGAAGGGGAAAAGCAGGTGAAGCAGTTGCTATGATTAGAGAGTTCAAGTCTGTGTATGCAACAGTATCATTAGGAGGGTCAGTACCATGCAGGTGAGGTTTGCACAGCATTGTACAGCAGGAAGCTCCATGGTGTTCAAAATGGGCCAGAAGGCAGGCAAGCAGCAGAAACCCATTGTCTGTCTTGGACTCCCAGCCGCAGATGGCTGTGGGTATCAAACTTGTGATCTCTTGTCAGCAGGGCCATGCTTATGCATTGTACTCATAGTTTTTATAGCCTTCGTAAAATGAGGCAGCATTGTTTCTGGCACATTTTTTACGTTCCAACATGTTAACAAATCTCCAAAAATGAATTATTGGCATGCATATTTTGTATCTTGAGACTTATGCTGTTATTGTATTCTGATAAATTGCCTACCCTTGACCTCTGTCTGTTTTCTCTCTCTCTCTCTCTCTCTCTCTCTCTCTCTCTCTCTCTCTCGCTCTCTATTTCTCACTCAGTCGCAGGTCTTTCTGAGAGAGTACTACAGGGATCATAACATTGAGCTGTCCAAGCTTTTGTATAGGATGGGACAGCCTCTGCCCAGTTGGCTCAAAGATGAGCTCCTCAATAGCAGGTAGCACTGAACCTCGTACCTCCCCGTGTCTGACACTGGTACAGTCATCAGCACCACTCATCTGCCTCAAGTGGAATAAACCATTCATGTCATTAGGGGTCAGGAATTCCATTGAAATGAAATGGAAGCTTGCCTTCTTGAATTGACTCTTGGAATGTGACGTGGTAATTGACTAAAGGAAATAAACAGCCTCCCCCATGGGGTAGAAAGGTACATGACCCATTTGGGCAAAAAGTGGTAGATCCTTCTGTTTCATCCTAATGGATTGGAGTATATTGGGCTTGCTATGGTGTCTAGCATTGACATTTCGCATGTCATCTTGATGAGACGAAGATAAGGATGCAACGGATTCCTTCACTACGTTGATTGCGGATGGGAAAGAAATGTCCAAGAACATGAACTTTTTTTTATGAGCTATTGAGTTGAAGGATATATACATTGGCCATGAGGAGATGGATGAACTGCTGTTTAATCATCTCTGGTCTTTTGGGTTTAATATGAACAGATGAGGCCAGATGAGCATAAGTGTGTTAGTTTTAAAAGTGCCAGTCATAGAAGGACACACTGAGGTTTTTGTAGGATGTAACTGTGTTGTGTTCTTTATCAAATGAACCGGTTACACAGCCCTTACTCAGCATGGTACTCAGGCAGTGAAGTTGCCGTCAACACTAAAAATGAATGTATCATAATGTAATACAAAGCCTGCCAGTTACTGATTTTATAAGTATTTATGAGCTAGTATTTCCTCCCACCTAATTCCGTCCATCCTTGCTACAGTGGAGTAACCTGATCACCCAGTACTGTCTTCTGATCTGAGTGTTTGAGTTGAGTGGTCAACATCTACAATTTTCTTTAAGGCAGCGTCCTGTTCTTGTGTGATGGTTCTGAGAATGGAGCCCAGTAGGGGTAAAATTGCATCACGATGTAGTAATGTGTTTTTACACCAGGGCAGGCATTAAATGTGAGAGACTTTCATTTCTCTACCCAGCACAAATGTCAGCGTGCTGGGACTGCCATCCTCAGAGCCTTTCATCCACTAACACTACAAGACTGCAGGTGTGGTAGATATTGGCCTAGGCCGACGTAGGATACATAGGATATGCCTTCCTGTATTAACCCATAATTCTCATTACTTGTGCACTGTGATAAGCAAAAATCTTCATTCAGAGAAAAAGGAAAACAAGTTTTCAAATGGTACTGATAGTGTGGGAATGTGGTATTTGTTTACTCTACAGACTTCTGTCAGTTTTAAATAGTTTTACAGTGAAATAAATTAATTTTAAGTGCCATAACTACAGCTTCAGATCCTGGTTGAATGTGGAGGTTTGGGGAGACATATTTTTAATTTTTATCTGTACTTTGTTTTATATCATTTTTAACTTTTTGTTGATTGTATTTTTTTTTTTCACATACAGGTATAAAACTTGCTGATTATCATGGTTGGGGGAAAAAATGGCATCAGACAGATGGATGCATACTGCCAAATGAGCTTGAACATATTTGTTTAAGACATGCAACACTACAACTTCCCTCCTTTTTCCCATTAGAAGAAATAACTCTGTATATTTTCAAAATAGAAGCTTTATAACTCAACGTTAATGTACATAAATTTTTTATGTTTCTGCAAAATTAAGTCTTTCGAGATATAAACAAAGTTATTCAGAGTGGTTTGATGTGAAATGCGCCAGTCTGTAGAAACTAACCAATCGTGATTTCTTTACAGTGGTGGTGATAGGAACCAGGGGGCGCAATGTCTACATCGCAAATATATCATTTTATTTCATACACAAAATAACACATTCTGAGTTTTTGTATGTAATGTTGATGATGGTAACATAGTGGTAAATCTGTATAAATAAGTTTTCTTTGGGGACTATTTTGACGTTCAGTGGCCTGCATGTACCTATCCACCATGAATGGATAAGGTCACAACCTTTGGCTCAAAACTATCATAAAGCAATACATCAGGCAGTGTATTTATAGGCATTTCATGTAATAACTTTCTGTGGAGGAAGCTTTTAGAGGCATTAAACTCTTCAGACATCTGGTTCCCATCACTTCCTCTGTAAACAGTTCTGACTCAGTAAGTTTCTCTAGAGTGGTACGTTTCACATCAAATAACTCTGACTCTGTTTACGTCTTAACGATTTAATCATGCAAACATTTTAAATTCCCCTCAATGCAATAAGATTTAATGTAATAAATATCCCAATAAGTAATTGGGAAACAAATGGAGAAATGGAAGGTTTTTATATAACAGCAACATAAAATAAGAATGTGCTGCTTTTTCTGGAGCAGATGCTTCTAACTAAAGACAAATCACTCCTTTGGCATCAATTAGAAGGCAACCCTCTAATGCAGTGGAGGGCTTCTGTGAGCCTCAGTATGAAATACTGTAAACGTTTTAAATGGCTCTTTGTTTTCTCTGTGATCCTGTTTTGCAGCTCTCATCCATGAGCAGTGGAATTAAGAATGTCCTCATTTTACTCTGAGTTTCCAGAATGAGTCTGGTTTTAATTGGATACTAAAGTTGGCACATTAGAAAATGGTAATCTTTAAAATGTTCATTTTTGGTGTATAATTGCATGAGTGTTGGATTTAAAGTTTCTCATACGATTTGCCTTCTTTAGTCTAGTCAGGGAATATCTACAATGTGTTTCCCCCTCTGTGCCTGTTTTTATTATTTACCCAATTCATGCCTGTTTTATTCTGGATAACAGATCAACAATACTTATGAGATAAAACCATTGTAAATGTTAGTGGGGCTGTATAAGGACACTTTACTCCCCTGCTATATTCTTTGTGTTATTATGCTTTTGGGAAACAGATGTTGCATATGAATGACCAATCGTCAATGGTCAAGAAAGCACAACTTTTTACAGTGTAAATATGAATCTAATAATCTATAAGGTTTCATGGTTGAATGAGGAGAGTGGAAATTATTGGATATGGAATGTTAACACCTAACCCACATGATCTTTCAGGTTAAGAGTGACTAAATTGCAGGCTTAGATGATAATATAATGTTTCCTTTTTGTTTTAATATTTGCCTGTTTTTATTTTTTTATTTGTATTTATTTTTAAATTTTTTTGTTTTACATATTTTCCTCAGTCTGATATCATTTTGAATACTGTTAAGTGCATCTGAACTTTAAAAGCCTGGGCACTGAGGCCTGGCTGTGGTGCCACTACAGCTGCAGTTTAACAGAGAGTGTAATAAATAGGGTGCAATAATCACTACACCTTGCTCCAGTTATATTCTGTTCTCTCTCTGTGTTTTGGGCATTGAGTGTTTTCTCTCTTTTAAGGTGCCTTCTGTGAGCTCCATGTTTGTGAGAAGTCTGCCAGTATGTAAAAGATTAAGTTACTGATATTTATCATTTCAAAAGTACATTCGAACGCGGTCAGCACACTTTTAGTTTAACAGCAGCTTTGTTTCCATTGACTTCCTGCAAAATTGCAAGCAATAATTAAAATGCATTAAAAAACTTTTTTTTATTTATTTATTTAAACTAACATTTAGCAACGAAAGATGTTTACATAATGATGTCATTTCTTGCGAAAAAGCACAAAACAGTTACAAGTTTTGCTTTATCAACAAAAAATGTTGTTTGGCATGTCCTTATCTCTAAATGCATTTGTCTCTTAACTTCTGTACCTTTGACTTCCCTCACATCACCATAACCTATGGATAAGGAAATTACATTTCATGGGATTTTAATATGATTCAGAGGGGGGGACCCTGAGGGCCTTCTTGGCCTTCGGAGAAGTCCCAGTAATTTCTGGAAACTGGAAAAAATGTGTTGCTATAATTAAGTTCATAGAATCATTATTGTATTTGAACTCCGTAGGTATTATGGAACTAATCCAGTTTCGTTAAGTTTTGGATGCATGCAAAATTCTTGAAAAAAAACTGGCCAATCAGGAGTTGTTTTTCTGTGTGATATCTAGGTAGATATAACTGTGTGAGCTCTTCTCTTGGTTAGGAGTATCAGAATAATTACAATGTCCATGTGGAATCAACTAGTCGTGTTTTGATTTCCAATAGATGGGACTAGTTTTGTGAGAGACATCACTCAAGGCCTTCTGGAAGTCTTTTATATGTCATTGCCTGTGAATATGAGTGGCAACCTAATCAGTGGGTTGTTAGAAATGGAAAACAGTGGCGACACCTCTATACCAGCCCTCTCCACTGAAAGAGTCGCTGTGAAACTGCTACAAGGTCAATTTTATGTTAATATGTCAGTCACAAGCTTCAAGTAAAACATGGAATGTCTTTTATAGAAGCTTCAGATGTCTGTTTAATCTTGAATGGCCAGAAAATGTTCCATTAGCTTAGCGTTAACAAATTATTAGAATCCCAAATGGTCGTTTGCAGACGTTGACATTATCATGGAAGTGGATTTGACATTTACATCTTGCGTTGAAGGCCTAGCTCTAATAGCCACAGTTCACCACTGTTGTTACTATTATTATCACTATTCTTTTCCTATCAAAACTGTTACATGACAGGTTATGTTTATCTGCCATATAGAACTGTTTGAGCTTTTTCCATTTAGAAAGGCTGTAGTCATGAAAAGTGGCAGCATTACTTTTAAAAACACTCACACTTCTCAGTCCAGCCACACCTCTTCAACTTCATGTAAGAGGCACATGAGGGAAGTATTTCACGTGATGAATTTTTGCATGAATGTGTAGGTATTTGCAACATTTCAGGTATCAAAAAGCATTTTAACAGGAGTTGAACAGAAAAAAGTATTGTTGACATTCATAAAATATTCCTAACAGTTTTCATTTTGATAAGCCAACTTTTTAAAACTTTTGTGGCTGTAAACGTAGCTATAAACACTTTAGAAAAGGAAAGGAAAACTATACCATCCCAACGAGGTGTAGAACAAATATGACCTCATACAAATGAATACAGTACCTTGATGGTGCATATAAATTAGAGGAAGATAACCAAGAAAAAAAAGGATGTAAGAAGCAAAATAAAAGTATTTTCAACAGTTTGGAAGATGAAATCAGTTCCTTCTGTAATGTTGCACCTCATGCATGTGGCTAAAACAGCCATGTTAAATCTGTATGGCCTGATTGGAGACAACATAAGCTGAAAAGTAAAACAGTTGTGTTTGAAATCACAATGCATTCCCCTTCTCTTCCAAATGATGCAGTATGATGAATTGTGCTTAATAAGTCCAGGGGCATGAACTACAAGGTAAAAAAGGTCAGGTTTGATTTTAGGTTAAAACTTTTTGTCTGTGACTGCTGCCCTCTAGTGCCCATAGATATTTACTACACTGATCTCAAGCTAACCCTGTTCAGCACATCCTTAAAACCACATTTGCTCAGTTTTATTGTTTAGAGGGAATATTGCAATGATATTCTATCCATCATATGTTGATCTGGCTCTTAAATCTTCTCTTTGTCTTGATATTGAAATCATCTCTACTTGCAGTAACCATTTATGTTCTTTAAATGAAACGATAAAAGGTACAAGGCATTAGATGACTGAGATCATTCATAATACTGGCCACGAATGAGAATCTGTGGCAGATTTACTGTTTGACCCTGTATTTGTCTATTTCACTCCATCATAGAAGTTTCCCTCTGATGCTCTGCAGTGTCATCATCAAAGAGATGTGACGACAGATTTAACATAAAAATGTCTTATTTAGATATTTTATTATGAGATTTATTACTTTTTGCATTAAACATTGCTGTGTGATAACATGAATTTTAATTAAATTGCAGTATATTTTGAGTATTAAAATAATGGCAGGCTTAATGAGCCTCTTGGAGAGGATAAAAAAAAAGAAGCAAAACCAAATTACACCAGTAGCAGTGGCTGAATTGCAAATGCCCTTCTTGCTCCCTGTATAGTGCATAGTTATGTAATGTCTGTTCTTCACCCAAATAGAGCACTGAACACTGATCGGCCACTTCATTAAGTACACCACCTTGAATCTACACTCATTGTCCACTCTATCAGTTCCACTCATGACATAGATGCACTGTGTAGTTCTACAATTACAGACTGTAATCCATCTGTTTCTCTGCATACTTTATCCCTCTTTCACCCTGTTCTTCAGTGGTCAGGACACAGCAGTGCTGCTGTTTTTGTCTTTTTTCTTTTTTCCCCAAAAAGAGCAACATTTATTTTTAGTTTATTTGCTGAATTTAACATTTTTGGGGGAAAGCTCATAAAATGTGACCTGTGCAAATGTTATGGTACATTTTTTAAATATATATATTTTTTTATGCTTTTTCAATTTGTTAAACTCAGTAAATGAATAAAAATTGTGCACTATAATTTGCAGAAAACATTCTATAATAAAGTTTGTTCCCTGTAGAGCAGGGATACCCAGTCCTGGTCCTGGGGACCTACCACCCTGAAGAGTTCAGTTCCCACACACCTGGATCTAGTTTTCAGATTCTCCCTGAAGGCCTTCATTGCCTGGATCAGGTGTGTTAGATTAGGGTTGGAGCTAAACCCTGCAGGGTGGTAGATCTCCGGGTCCAGGATTGAGCACCCCTGCTGTAGAGGATGTATTCACTTACCTCTTTGACCATGGGTGTTTAAACATTTGCAGATGACTGTATTCTAAAGATCTCTTCATTTACTTCTCCTAGGCATAGTTAAAGGGAAATCCATTTTTTTTATTATGTGCATAATTATTTATTAAGATGGAAACAGTCATTCAGAGTGGTTTGATATGAAATGCTCAGTTCCAGAGAAACGAGTTGTTCACAGTAATGGTGATTAACACTTCAGATGCCTGGTTTCTAACGTCTGAGCCCGATTAAAATATACATGGGCTATATGTAACATCTAATAATGTTCTCTCTTTTACATCTCAGAAATCTTTCTGAAGACCATTAGTGTGAAAGGAGACCTCATGTTTTTCTCATTTCTATACAGAATGTCTTAAAATGATATTATGGTATATCTCTTATTTTTTTCTAAGAGGGGCTGAATTTATGAATACAGTATTGAGAGATGCTTTTTAGTGACTGTAAAGGGTTTCTTTCCAGAATAAGCGTTCATTTAGTTCCTGTGAAGGTTTGCATAGAATAGGTGTGGATGTTTTCTAACTTAATCACTGCTGATAGTAAATCATGTTGCCTGGCAACAGAGGAAGTACAGTCACAGTATTTGCTAATAGGAACAGAAATGATGCGAAATGTACATAAACTCTATAACATTACAAACTGAGTATTTGAGTTGTTTAATGATGGCATGATTGAACCTCTCAGAACAGCATTTTTATCAGTAAGAACAAGGTTTTTGCGTCTGTATGTCTGTCTCACTCATTAAATTCCCCTCAGTGTGGAAGCCCTGCTATCAGGCCTGTAAAGTGTAGGCTGTGTGTAGGCTACGGTGTTTGTGCAGTGATTCATGCTGGAGTCGTTTCCTCGTGGGGGTGGACTCTACATCGCTACATCATCAGAGCTAGAAAATGACCTGAAGATGGTAAATTCAAGGCTAAAACAACTCCCTGCCAATGTTGTGCACATGCAGAAACTGTTCATTAACAACTCACACTTTGTAATATCAGTGCTTGAACCCTGTTTGTGTTGGGTCACAAGAACACAGCACACCTTCAACTGACCATGATTAGAACACATCTGTGTGGTACAAATCTGAGCGCTGCCTGTGTTAAATAAGATATTAAGCTGTCTTAAAGGAAATTTGTAAATGTGTTGTACTTCATTTGTGAAAGCCCGTTCCTGTCAGCTAGAGTAGACCACCTGTTTTAATCACCCCCCTCCCACACACACACACACGCTTCTCTGTTCCTAACTGTGCTATGGCAAACCTTTGACTTGGTATCTCAAAACTATGAGTAATTTTCTCAAAATATTATTTCAAAATGACTTATGTTCTCAGAATTTTGACTCATTAGCTCAAGAGCTCACGATTTTGAGTTATTAAGAGGTTTGATATGTGAGTTACTATTAAGCAGGTTACCTTATTTCAGGGTAAGTCATTATTTTGAGATACTGCATTAAACTTGTGAGCAAATGTCATTATTTTGAAATGCTGAGTCAAAATTTTGAGAAGTCAAGTCAAAGTTTATATACTGTAAGCTACGAAGTCAATTTTTCCATGAAAATAAGTCATTTTTGAGATACTAAGTCAAAGTTCTGAGAACATAAATCATTAATTTGAGATACTAAGTCAAAGTTCTGAGAACATAAATCATTAATTTGAGATACTAAGTCAAAATTCTGAGAATATAAATCATTAATTTGAGATACTAAGTCAAAATTCTGAGAAAATCTTTACTTTCAAATGCTAAGTCAAAATGTTTAGAAAATAACTATCACTTTATTTTTTGAGAAAATAAGTAATTTCTTCAAGATTTTAAGTCAAAATGGTTTGCAGATTGCAAATTAGCCATTACTTCGAAATACTAAGTCAAAGTTTTGAAAAAATAAGTAATTTGCCGTACTAAGGAAAATTTCTGACATAGCGCTGAAGGAAGAAAAAAAACAAAACCTAGGCGAGATTTTTTTCTCCTCTACCTGGTGGCAGGGGGTTTCCATGGCATCTGTACATACAATATACTGAAAAACTCTCCACTATCACTGGATTCAGAATGGTGTTCTTGTTGACTCATTCATTTTTCTTCCTTATGTGGCATTTACTGTATAGCGAACTGACCAGGACACAATAGTAAACTATCTCTAATGGGGAGCAATTCTGAGTGTAGCTAATGTGGTTTGAACTGCTTATTAAAAAATAAAAAAAATAATAATTAAATACATTTTGAATAACTCTAACACTGATCCAGTTCCAGTTTTTGGGTGACAGTACTGCCCTCTGTGGTCAGCCTTAGACTTTTCTGTTGGTCAGAATTGCATTAGTGTGTTGAAAATGGTAGGTGTTAAGACAGACAGTAAGACAAGAAACTTAAAGGACTCCAGCTTGTTTGTCTAAATGCCAGAATATTAAGTGTATTTTATGTTATTGTCTTGATTAAAAATGCATATAAGAAAAGTTGAAGGACACCCCAGCCTGTTTTATGACTTTCACTGTTTCACTAAATCATGTTGCCAGGCAACAGAAGCAAACACAGCAGTAGCACTGGTCACTCTCTCTCGATCTCTCTCTCTTTCGCTTGCTCTCTCTCTCATTTCAGTGGTCCATTTTTTAAAAAAGCTCCCTCCTCCTTCTCCCCCTTGAACCAGGAATCTCAAGTCCTCTTCTTTTCCTTAAACTGAGGTGGGGGGGGTGCCTTTATTAAAGGCCTGAGGGGTTCACCACCTCACTTTGGGGAAGAAAAGAAATTGGCACATTCCATTGGTCAGGAGTGACTGGGGCAGGATGTGCAGGAATTTGTTTTGGCTGCTTTAGACACGTTTAGCATTCATTAATCTGTAATGTTCCTTATGGAAAGGTTCAGTGGAAAAGCCACTGCATTACATTATGTTTGTTAGACATCAGGTGAGGCTTGCATGTCTAAGTCAGTGCATTTTTATTTCTGAGTGAGGTTGTTGTAAAATAGACCTTCACTACAGTTTTACTTATACAGGGCTTTAAAGAATAAACATGTCACCAAGTGTTTTTACAGAGATCCAGGCCCGGTCCACTAATGAGCAAGCCAGAAATATTTATAATGTAATACTGTAATACTAATGCTTTTCATTTATGAAGTTCCTCTCATGGTGCACACAAATAACAACAGTAGGGGAGTAAACAGTACAATTAAATACAAGCATATAGTTTTGTGGAAATGTTTGAACACCCCTGATCAAATTGCATGTTTTGTTGACTTTCTAAGTGAAAATAAGTTCTTCTACAGGAAACAGACTTAAATATGGCATTTTTCTGCACATTTTCGTGCACAATTTCCATTTGTTTGCTGAGCTTAATTAATTTATATATATATATATATATATAAAAGTGACCATATATATATTTGATCGGGGGTATACGACTACGTATGCTTTTATATAATTTTACTGATGTCCTCTGTTTTTATTTATGTGTATTATTTTATTATGATTTTCATACTTGTCATAAAATGTCTTTTGGTCTATGAAACGTGTAATATAAATAAAAAGTCTTAGTGTTACATTAATCAAATTTATATTACTATAAATATTTTTGGGGTTACATTTTAAGGGTAATTAGACAAGGGGTGCTCAAACATTTGCGCACCACTGTACATACTTGCTAAATGAAATTTCGAAATGACCTGATCTGGTTTGATCTTCACTTGTTAATTCCACTCTCTTCTTTTAACAAGCTTTTTAGTATGTAATAAACTCTGGTGGGATGGTGCCCCCCTTTCTCTGTTCAAAGTGTATGTGTGTGTGTGTGTGTGTGAGATGCTGTAAAGGGGTAGGGGTGTCTCTGCCCCCCCCCACTCCCCTTTTCTTTCTGGTTGCCTTGGTCACTCTGTCGTGTACACACACGCTTTCTCCCCCAGCTCACACTTTAGCCGTGGCAGCTGGAGTGAAGGGCACCTCCATGGACCCTCCGGTACCTGAAGCCCTCGAGTCTGGGCCCTGCTCCAAGCCCGAACAGAACCAAAGAGAGGCTCAAGACACAGACCCAGAGGATGACGTCCAAATTCAGGCCAAGAGTGCAGAGGAGGAAGACGAGGAAGAGGAGGATGAAGGAGGAAAGTCCGGGATGGAGTCAGAGTCCAAGAACCAGGAGCCTTCTCCTGCAGACTGGATAGAGGAGCGGTTCCGCATTGACAGGAAGAAACTAGAGACCATGCTTTATGGTGAGAGAGAGAGAGAAGTTTTTCTTCTATCTTGTTTTAATTCAGTAGTTGTGTGTTGACAGAGCATTTCAGGGCTGTGCAATGTATCATTTGTTATTCATCACTGCAATACTGACTTTAGGACTGATCACAAAATGAGACGTGTGACAAATCACAAAATATCATTCTGTACTGTGTCAGATGTTCCACTTGAGACTCTGCGGATGTTTCAATCGAGGAATTAACATGATCAAACAAACATGAATAATGTTCATATAAAAAATGTCTTGCTCCATCAAGGTGTTATGTCAGTTCAAAAGCCCAAAACACTATTGTTTTTTTTTTTTGTGCCATTTGAACAAATGAACCAATAGAAATGACCCAGAATCACTTTGAATAAAATCTTGTTACATTAAAGTGCATTAAAGTTCTGAACATCTTTAGCCATCTTCCATAAACGTATCCATGAGATCTAACAAGCGTACATAATTTTAATCAAAATTTTGCTGCTTCTATAGTTATTTGGTCAAATTTTGCTGCTTCTGTAAAGTTATTTGGTCAAATTTTGCTGCTTCTATAAAGTTATTTGGTCAAATTTCTGCTGCTTCTATAGTTATTTGGTCAAATTTTGCTGCTTCTATAGTTATTTGGTCAAATTTTGCTGCTTCTATAGTTATTCACATCATCCAAGAAATGCAGTTTTGGTCAAAAACATTTTAGTACTTCTATAAAGTTATCCACATGAACCAACAAGGTGTAAGTAATTTGTTCAAAACATTTTGCTCCTTCTCCTTTAAACGTATCTACATGTAAGTAATTTGGTCAAAATGTCAATAATTTAGTCAAAATATCTCTTCTCTTTTGAAGTTATCCCCATTATCCAACTAATGTAAATGATTTTGGTCAAAACATTCTGCTACTTCACCTATAAAGTGGTTCAAGTGATCCAACAAATGTACACAGTTTTGGGTCAACACATTGTTGGTGATCCAGGTGTAAATGTTAGGTATAATGGACTTATATTCAAACATATGAGCTTTTCTTATGGCAGTGAGGATATATTATTAGGTATATCGCAATAGTAGTGTAATCACAAGATGGTATTTTGTCCATTTTATGCAGGCCAACTCTAAAGCCATAGACACGTTCTAATCCATCATTAGTTGTGAACTCTGCTCAGGAGCTTAGAGTAGTAGCGGACCTGCCATTACGGCTGTGTGATTGATGTTGCCATTTTAAAAGCACTTGATGAAAAGGTTTGACATTCTGCGGTCCTGTCGTGGCCGCGGAGCGTTATTGCTCGGAGATTGCTCTGAGCAAATGATGGCTGTTCTGTGCTAATGCTGGTGTTTAGGCTCCCCTCCAGGCTCTGTTTCAGTCTGCATCAGTGCAGGAGGCTTTGTCTCAGGGAGGCGAGCTTGTGTTATCGTGGAGGAGCAGCTTGGTGACTGATGAGGGGATGGGAGTTTTGAAGAAGTGTTTCGGTCTCACATGCTGGGACAGTCGTCCCTGCTGCTGCTTTGATGTTCAGTGTGTGAAAAGAATAGGAGTTAGTGTGAGGCCGATCACTCGAATGTTGAGTAGGCTGCTGCTGCTGAAGTGTTATCTGTGCTGAACTGACACGCAGGGCATTGATAGGTTTGTGCTGTGGTGTTGCGTGTGCTGTCTCAGGATTAGCTTTCTTTCCTGGATGCAGTGCTGTGACTTCATCACTCGCGTTCCTGAAAATGGCAGCGTTTTCAATGGGGGATGGTTTTGCGTCAGCATTGTTGTTAGTTAAATGCCTTTGCTGCTTGACGCTGTTTCTCAGAACTGGCTTTTGGCTCTCTTTCTTGCCCAGAAACGCACACACACATACTGGTAAGTTGGGCCATTCCTGGTGGCAGGACAGCGTAACCCATGGAGATGAGAAGGAGGGAGAAGAAAGGAGAGGGATGTTCACCCTAACCCTGTAAATGTCAGTGTAGAGCTCTGCCCTTTCATTGTGTTTAACTTTAACCCCCCGAACACACACATACTCGCACTCATTTGTCTGCCTGTCCTTGTATTTAAACTTTTTGTGTAAATCTTCCTGTTGACTTCTCTGTGCTACACATTACCACCCATTTCACAGCAGACAGAACATAGAACAATGCAGTAACGCACACAGACTCGTACATGGGAAACAGGTTATAGGTTCAAGTAAAAAAACAACCACCTTAAAGCTGCACTATGTAAGATTTTTATGTTATGATTGTAGTAGCGTTTAATGTTGTAGTCAAGACCAAGACCTGGACACATTGAGTCCAAGTCAAGATTAAGACTTTTAGTAATGGAGTCTGAGTCAAGATCTAGATGATGCACATAGATGCACAGCGTCCCAACTATGTATATGTATATATGTGTGTGTATATATATATATATATATATATATGTATATATATATATATATATACATATATACATACATACATACACACACACACACATATATATATCGCTGGTGTTGGAAGAAAACCTTGTATCTCCAAAATGGTCATTTTGGGCTATTTCTTTTTTTGGTCCATTCATCACGAGATTTACACACAAGGACAACAAGCATCTTCAGATTATGTCAAAAACTGAAAAACATTTGCATTGTTACTGGGAAGCAATGGTGAAAGTGATTCTCTGTCCTTTTGTTCGTATTAAACTTTGTTTTTTTGTTCTTATTAAACTTATTCACAATCACAGTAAACAAAAACTGGTTTACATTTTTATGAAAACATATTAATAATAACATCTGATCTGCTCTCAGTGGATGTTTCAATTTCTGGAACCAACGAACATCAACAAACAAATAATACTCAGTTAAGCCTTATGGAAATAATCCAGTTACTTTAGATGGAGCCATCACACTTAGCTGGTCTCAACAACAATTTCAGAGCCCTTACCTTAAGACCGAAATGAGACGGAGACTGCTAGTTTAGGGTCTCAGGACCAAGAATGGACTCGAGTACTACAATACTACTATCATTAGTGAGTCACGGCTAAAATATGATGTGTGTGTGTGTGTGTGTGTGTGTGTGTGTGTGTGTGTGTGCTGCTGCTGCAAGTCCTGAAATAATTTAAAAGTCAGAAGTGTTGTGTCAGATTTTGTGAGAGTTTTTCTGAGTTAGTCTTTACTTGTTAATGTTACATGCACAGGCTTAAAAAGGGAAATTTGTTTAGGACAAATTCAAAATCAGCATGTAGACAATTCACTTACATCCTCAGAAAAGATATCCTTTTGACAGGGTTATCTTTGAATACACTTTCAACTATCGTCAGATTTATCCCCTCAGGGAAGGAATCTGAGGCACGGCCAATGTTGCAAAATGTTCTTCTGCATGTTGTGTGCAATTACTCATTTCCACCAGAGAGACCTCTAAATCCCCAAATCTTTGAAGTAATGCTGCATTTTTCAGCCTAATTTATGTCTGCTGGATCTGCACCATACAGTCAGTTCCCGCAGACAAGAAGAAAAATTTAAAAAAGGGAAGAAAAAGGAAAAAGGTTACCACAGACAACACATTTCCCAGTAATCTGTAGAATATAGTCTTTTACCGTGGACAAGTTTTCCTATACTTACAAAGAACAAAAAAACTATTAATTGAAAAGCTTAATTGAAAAGTTAATAGGAGCCAGTGGAAGCTTTTTCAAGTCAACATTTTTTTTTCTACTTTTTTTTTTTAAGTTTAGGGAAATTATTGTCCATGGACATTGTCCTTGACTAAATGCTGCAGATGTGGCAGATTGAAAAATGATTGAATGTTGTTTTAATATTTAACTCTTTACACTGTAACCTCTTTAGTTATCAGTCTTAAGGCTCATTATTCAGTGTGTACTATGTTTCTAAATGTATTCAATAGTATTTTCACAAGTATTTTGTCAGTGAAATAATTTGTCGGGAGTGAGCTTTGCATAATAAATTTCAGGCCTATAAAATACTGTTTTTTGGTTTTTTTGTTTTGTTTTCACGGAAATATAACTCTTCGCGTACGTTTGCAGGCCCTGCAGAAGGGACCAACCTGACAGGAGAGGAGTTCTTTGAGAAGGTGAGTGGCCACCTGTAAGTTACTACTATTGCTTAAGTTTTATTTTCTTCTCTGCTGCCCACTTATGATAATTGTGTGGGTTTCTGTAGCAGAAACAGTTTCCAATCTCTCTTTGTCCATTAGAATGGATGGGTTTGTTACTGTACCTTTAAGACTGATATATGTAAATGGCCTGTGTTCTGATTTGCTGCCCTGTGTTTGGCATCATTCAAAAAGGGGTTCAGTCTGAAATACTCTGGCTGGTGGACCCAAACTTCTGTAGGCTAAATAGGTGGATATATGTAATTTGGGTTAGTCAATGATTAAAATAATTACTATAATCTTCGCTCTCCAAAAACACAGTGCATCTATATTTTTGGTCTTTTTTCTTTTCAAAATCATTTGAACACAAAAATTGACTAATAGAAATGCTTCAAAATCATTTGGAATTAAATCTCTGTACATAACTTATATTACATTTACATGTACAGCATTTGGCAGATGCTCTTATCCAGAGCGACTTACGATTTGTTCATTTTAACACAGGTAGGCGAAGGTAGTGTTAGGAGTCTTGCCCAAGGACTCTTATTGGTATAGTGTAGGGTGCTTACCCTATTAAAAGTTAAGAATGTTTTAGTTTTCTCCTGTAAAGTTACTTGTAAAGTTACCTGTAAAATTATGTTTTTCTTAGAAAGTAACCATATGAATATATTACTAATAATAATTTAGTGACATTATTTTCATCACATCAACGCAGGATTCACATACAGCACATGAGCAGCTGGCCTTCAGCCTGTACAGCTAGGGATGGTTCAAAGGGTCAAACAAAAGAGTTAATGTAATTATTACATTGTTATATTAATTCTGGCAGCTCTTGCATAAATGTCTTGATTTTGTGACGTCATAAAAGTAGTTAATTCCACACGTACTTTGGAAGCTCAGTTTTTCACGTTTTTGAGATCGGTTTCCATATAAGAACTGGGGCGTGAATTGCATGTATTTACATACTACACCAAACTCTTTTGTTTCCAAAATGCTTGGATAATTTGCTTTTCCGTGATACGAGTCCTTTAAGGACTGAAAGTTTCTCTCATTCTGAGAACTGACTTTACCTTCAATGACGGTGAAACTATGGAAAACTGGGCTGTCTATTCATGTCTATGGAGGTGACTTGGCTCTCGACTGACTGTCTGTCTTATGGGGTAATAATGTGCTGCTTTGAAATGCTAATGATGTATTGTCACTGTTGAAAGTATCTATTGAGAGGACATGTCCTCCCTTCTCTTTCCCACACACCTGCCTTTATCTCTCTCTTTCTCACTCACATATGTATCTGTCTAACACTCTCAGTACGTGCACCCACACACATACGCGCTCTCTCTCTCACACCTCTGTCTCTCCAGATAATGAGGGAAACTAACACTCAGGTGAAATGGCCGTCGAAGCTGAAGATTGGAGCCAAGTCGAAGAAAGGTGAGAGAAATCTCATCTCATATAACAGTCGGATTTCAGCTACTCCAGACCACTCTCTGTCAGACGTCTCAGCTTTCCTTCATTAGGCTGCTCTCCGGCTGCTCTCCGGCTGCTCCGGGTTACAGGGCAGGACTGTGCAGGATGACATTACGTTGATCTGAAGAACCTGAATGACGTTACTTTGAGATTTCTGACAGACATTGCATTAATCAGTGGTGGTATTATTCATTAGGTTGTCATTAGTATTCATTATCTTTAGGATGTGTTCACTGACCCTTTGGCTTTCTCGCAGGTATGTCATAATTGGTATGCAAAAGTTTGGGTGCCCCAAATAATATGTTTTGATTTTTTTAGTGCAAATAAATTAACATATCTGTACATTTCAATACACAGTTACTGTTTATTTACTGAATTTAACACATTGTTTCCTTTGTAAAATGCTCAGCAAATAAATACAAAGTGTGCACTCAAATGTGCAGACCAACGACGGTGTGTTCTCTGTAGATGATGTATGTGTATTTGTAAAGCTTATTGCTGTTGGCGGTGCTGCACTTGCAGATCCTCATGTAAAAGTGGAAGGAAAGCGAGACGACGTCCTCGAGGCCAAGCGCAAGATTCTGGAGCTTTTAGAGACGAAGGTAGATGCTTGAAATATATAATGTATTTATGCTCTGCCTACAAATGCATTTTCAGGTTGGACAAGTGTTCCAGAAAAAAAACAACATTCAGTCTAATGAAGAACTGATTAAGAATCGACTGATGGAGAATTTGTGGCTGTTCGGCTTCACATAGTCACTTTCAGTCACTCAGACCACCTGGTAGCATCGGTAGCACTTGTGCTAACAGATTAGCATGTTCAGTAGAAGCACACAGTACCTGTGACAAAATTTAATCATTCAAAAATTAACTGCCTTACTTCTTACAAGATGTTCAGTCTGAAAGCTGACAAAATATAAATGTAGGCCAATTTAAAGCACACTTCAATTATTATTTTGCAAATGGTCAGTTGTAGCCCACAACTCAGTTCTTTGTCAAAATACATAAATTATTCACATCGCACAGCTACAGCATATTTTTTAGAGTCATTGCAGTTTAGCATGCTGTGCTACTGAGCTGAACTAATCAAAACTAGGTACACTGAAAACAAGAAGTAATTTTCTGCTTACATTAGCCAACTAAAACACAGATTCAATCTGTCCTCATGTTATGACTTTTCACAAGCAGGCAAAGTAAATCTCATTTGAAATTAATAACATATTCTGAATATAGGTATATTGATTCAAAACTGAGGTGTGTGCTCCAGTTTCTCATTAGGTTGAATGGTATTTCTGTCAACGTTCTGTGAAGCTTGTCCAGTTTAACAACAGTTTTTACAAAAGAATGTGTTTGTGGGTGGACCATGGAGAGGTCAATTGTTGTACTTAATGGTATGGTCCTCTCTTTCCCAACTGGCCATAGGTTAATAAAGTGACTCTAAAGATGGATGTAACTCACACTGAACACTCTCACGTGATTGGTAAAGGAGGTGGGAACATTAAAAAGGTCATGGAGGACACGTCCTGTCACATCCACTTCCCTGACTCTAATCGGCACAGTGCGACCGGAGAGAAAAGCAACCAGGTATGAGGGTCTGGGGTAGAGGTCAGTGTTGTCTAGCATTAGATTACTATCTGAGCCTATTAGGCATGTGCCCAGGGCCACTAGGGGGCATATGTCCATCATAGAGTTATAATAGATTGGCCAGTGCACCGAAGTCACACATACAACCTCCCACAGCCTCAGAAAAAAAATAATTCAATAAATTTGATATATATATATACATCTATGGCCCTTTTCCACGGAAAAGTAAATATTATGTCCTCCTTTCAGGTGCACAGTTGAAACTTAAAGCATCTGTAAGCATCCATGTCATTCAGTAAGGTTTTCATATCAGACGTTTGCCTTTTCCTGGTGATTCAGCTGATTGAGATTAGCTGGGCAGGACTGGTAAGATGCTGAATATCTTTTCTCTCTGTTTTTTGTCTTGGCAGGTGTCCATTGCCGGACCTGTGCAGGGGGTGGAGTCTGCCAGAAGATACATCAGAGTTAGTGTCACACACTGATATCACACAAAGTTTACATTAAATACCCTGCCATTCAAAAGTTTGGAATCAGTTCTCATTTTAATCTCCTCTGTTCTTTTATTCAATATAATCTTATTATAGATTACAGCACTTTAAACTAAACATGTACTAATGCATTAAAATATACTTTTAAATATTGTTCAATATTTCCAGCCAGGTTATTAAATGTTATTAAATTATGCATTATTTATAGTAATTTATCAAATTCCCTGTGATCACCACTTGAAATATGAGGCATTCTGAATATTGCTTTTATTATAACATAATTCAACTGCATATCTGCATATCATTTGAAACTTGTGATGTGTTGTATTAGAATGTTATGCATGTATCTTCAACACGTTTGGTTTTGTATTACTGTTGTTTAGGTAGTGTTGTACAGAGTAGAAGCAACAGAAATATGTACTGTGTAATATAGAAATATGTTTTTCCCAGCTTTGAGAGTACATGAATTTTATTCTTTGTCACAATTTTTAGTTAGTTAAGCAATTAGACCCAATCACAAAAAATATAGAGTGTAAAAATGTATATAAAATGTATATAATGAAGCAAATGCTGCATGTAGTCTCTATTGGCTTCTCATATTCTAGCATGTCCAACATTTTAGGCCAAAATCAAGCTAATGTGCAAAAAAACTAAACCAAAAAAGAACCTGATAGTTACGACTGTCAACAGCAAATGTGAGCCCCTGTTATCCCACCAGTTACAAATGTGACTGTTCGAATGTTTACAGCTACTGCAATGTCAGTACAATCTTATTAAAATATCAATAACAGACTCTTTAAAGATTATATGTGCCATATATGGCAATTATAGCTTTATTATAACATATTGTACACTGTAAAAGTGGCTCATTAGATCTACTTAAAAGATTCTTCATGTGGTATCAAGCAATTGAACTAGTTTTATTCAACTTAAAACCTATGTTGAAAGAATCATTCATTCAAATTATTTATTTAGGTTAAGTAAAACTAGTTAATTTACTTCTTACAGCATGAAGTAATTTTTAAGTAGATCTGACGAGCCACTTTTACAGTGTACTAGTTTTCTTTCCTAGTGCTCTCTCAAGATGATGCTAAAAATAAATGTTAGTGGTCATGTGACCAATTACAGCACCAACATAAAAATGTCCAGAAATCAAGGCAACCCATAATTTATAGTTTATCATACTGGAGAAAACACATTTAAAACTGTTTTAGAGCTGCACAAACTCAAAACTAAATTTTGGTCAGAAAATGTGAGAGGTGGGATTAAATGGTTTAATTCATCACTCATATGCATTTAAACAGTGAATTAATGTACACTTGACAGAATGTGTTGAGTGTGGAGTAAAACCTACCTGACCTCTCACTATGACTCAGGACTTGCAGCCTCTGGTGTTGACCTTTGACCTGCCGCTGACCCTGGTGGGTGGAGTTGTCACAGACGCGGGGTCTCCACTGATTCAGCATGTAGCGCAGGCGTTTGGAGTGAGTGTGACGTTCAGGACCCAGCCCAAACTCTACTGCTCCACCTGTGTGGTCCGAGGTCTGCAGGGGAATTGTTCTGCTGTGAAGGTACAGCACAAACACACACACACACACACACACACACACACACACACACACACACACACACACACACTCGGATACACAATCAGATACACAGAAACACATAGTTATGGTGCAGTATGTAGGTAGTTTTAACTCCAGAACATTGAGTCTGAGATAAAAATATGAATAACAGGTTAAAGCGCAGAAAACTACTTTAGCATAACCGTATTGTTGCTGTCAGTACAAAACCTTGTATCTCCATTTTTGCTTTTTTATCGCCAGCTGCCCTTGGCATTGTTTCAAATTTTCAAGATGAATGGACCAACAGAAACACTCCAAATTGCTTACCAGTAAACCATTAACTTCCTTTAAAGTGAAGAACAAAGGAAGTCATTGGTGAAAGAGGCCCAAAGTATTTTCTTACATTTGTTTTTGAGAAATGTCCTAAGAAGAAGTCTATGTCAGATTCATGATGTGTCCTTAAACTGCAGAACTGTCTCCTTTGTGCTCCTGAGTGTGCGTAGATCCCACACAGGAAAACATGGGTGAATATCAGAATCTTCGTAAGTGGGTTTTAAGAAGAAATTTCTTCTTAAGAACATCTGGTGAATGAGGCCTATTTTTTCCATCTCTTATAAATTTACCATTTTGGAGACACGACAGTGATGATATGTGAATTACTGACCTTTATGTACATTGTCCATTTCAGGGTATTGTAAGTAATTTGGCAAATATCTGTTATCTTAAATGAAATGGTCTTGTTTAGAACTTGCAGTTCACAAGATGCTGGATATCCTTCACAGTCATGTTCTGCAAGATGCTCTAAAATGCAGCCAGTTTCAATTCCCTTGTTTTTTTCTTTTCTCTATCTTTTCTATTTTATCAGTAAAATGCCACCCAGTAGGGCACAGGTCAGGTTTCTGATTTGTCAAATAACATCCACATTCTGGCCTTAAAAACCCCACTGTCACCCCAGAACATGTGTGTCAAACTGTGTTCCATCTGGGCCACAGCTCTGCAGACTCACTAAACACAACTGATTTACCTCATTGATTAACTAGCAAGGCTCAGGGAATGTTGAAAGAGGCCAAATGCCGTGGCCCAGAAGGAACCCAGTTTGATACCCCTGCATTTGAAGTATGTTTTGTGTGACTGTTTAGTTGTGAAGTGCAATTCCATCCACTGAACTCTGGAGCATCTGGTTGAATCTCAGCAGTTAAGATACTTTTAGTCACTTCACTATTCATGCTGTAGCTGCAGCAGTCACATCATCAGTAAAGACTAGTGAGGAAATACAATGGCATTTGCTTAATAAGCATTTTCTTTTTTCTCTTTTCTCTTCCTGTCACTCTGGTCCACATTAATTTCATCTGTTTCAGAACTCCACAGGCTTTTTATGTATGGTTTAGTAAACCGTAAGCTCTCGTTTTGTTCTTGAGGCTCATCAGGGGTTTGCATCTCGTGGTAAACAATCTGTGGTAATGCAAGTGCGTTCATCATGTTCAACAGATTTTCTTGACTGAAAGTATTCTGAAATGATAGATTACGTATGCAAAAGTTTGAACGCCCCTGCTAAAATCACGTTTCTTTTTTACGTGAAAATAAGTTAATACATCCTCTAAAGGGATCAGGAACTTAAATATAGCATTTTTAAAATTTTAGTGTTGAATTTGTTTATTTTAAGAAACAAAAAAATGAAAAATACGAATTGTCCCATAACTTTTGCAAAGGTCACCCTTTTTTGTTTTTTTCCTTTAGTATGTTAAATTCAGCTAACAAACAGTAATTGTCCATTAAAATATGCACAAGTTTGTTCTGTGGAGAGGATGCATTCACTTAGCAAAAAAAAACACAACTAAATGTGATTTTATCAGCAGCGTTCAAATTTTTGCATACGACTGTAAGTGCTCTGGTTCCTATATGATTCAATAAAATACAGATTTAAATAGCCTCAAATTAGACACACATATATTTTCCAAAAGTTCTGTGGTGTAATCAGTGGCATCACATTAACATACACATTGTACATTCTTTCTGGCATCATTTAACCTTTAACCTCTGGTCCTGGTAGAAGGCCACCTGTGTCCTCATGGAGCTCCTTTTGGGCCGAGACGCTGCAGCAGTTGCCGGAGTAACTGGGGTCATGGTCAGTACTCAGCTGGACGTGACTTCTCAGCAGCATCTCTTCCTGCTCGGCCAGAATGGAGCCAACTTCCTCAGCGTGATGCACCAAACACAGACACAGATCGTCCTGCCTGACCTCACTGCCCCACAGCACACGCCGTCTCTGCTCATCCAGGGCACGGCTGACGGTGTCTGTCTCGCGAGACAACAGCTCATGGTGAGTATGTGTGTGTGTGTCTGTAGTATGTCCACCATCAACAAGGCAAAAGTATGATCTTTGTTCCAGCATCTGTCTTTAACTCTACCTTATTTAACGTACAGTCAACCATCCGGAGAGAAGCTGGTGCACATGATAGTGTTGTAGTCGAGACCATTAGAGGCGAGAATGAGTCAAGAACAAGACTGTGTAATCCCGGCTGAGGCGCTCATGCATTATGCAACATATTTGTAATAATTTTGTATGATACGTTATTGTGTGCTAACCTTTAGGGACATTAAGGTTAATTCTACTGAATTGGTTCAAAGCCATTCATGGCTGGGAGTCCAAGAGAGCACAGTTGGCCTCACTCTCTCTGGGTGGGGGGGATGGTCCTCCCTCTCCCAATACTCCCAATGCTAGCCAGTGCAGGTGTCTGTTAGCTACAGAACTGGTGGTTAGTGTTCTCCTCCAAGCATGTTCAGCTGTCCAATGACGTTGCATTAGCGGCATTTCAAAAAGATGCCGTGGCTGGCTTCACATGACTTGGACGAAGTCTGTTTTCTTCTTTGTCCTCCTAGCACTGTGATTGGGGTGATTCATTTTAGACTTTTAACTGACTTGGACTTTAGAATAAAATCCTTTTGCTTTGATTGACTTTATCCCTTAATTATGTTTGTTTAATTGAAATAACTGATTGAACATTCTATTTTGTCACTCACAACAAAAATAATAATAATGTCTACAAAACTTTACCAAATGTTTTGGTAGTGACTGTTTGGTAGTTAGAAGCATAGCTCAAAATTCTGCCCAGTACATGACTGACAACCACAGCTTTCAGACATTTTAAAAAAGTTTACCTAACGTCAGAAAATATGTGTTGCTGTACTGACAATTCTTAATGTTCCACACTGATTTCCACACTTTGGGTATCCAAAGTCTGCCACAATGCCACGATTACTATATTTTTTAAGTTAATCAAATATAAAGCAACTTTGAATTGACCTGACAGAAAATTAGATTTTTTTTATTAATTTGCTGCATAGGTTGTGTTTACTTCCTTTCACTTCAAATCAATAAAAATATGTAATTTGGCCAGAAGTGCCCAAACCTTTGCGCACAACTGTATTTATGTTTCATTCTCTCATCTGTGAATATTTGGGCTGGGCTGGGCTGATATTTTTTCTCTGTCTCTGTGAGTGTGTAGGACTGCCTGCCTGTGTGTCTGATGTTCGAAATGAAGGAGGAAGGCGAGTCAGATCCTCGGAAACTCGCTCAGATGATGCAGAGTCTGGGAGTCTTCATCAGTGTTAAACCAAAGGCCAAACAGACTGCTAAGGTACTACCCTACCCATCCCTACTTTAATCTGATCATAATTGGTGTCTTCACGTAAGTTGGTATATACATTTTCTATAATTTACATTCATTTTCATCAGTGTAGGCATGCAACTTGCTTTATGTCTACTGTAGTTTGATATACAGTGAACTACAATTCCCAGAATGCTGTTGGGGTTCTAAAAAGCAATTGCATTTCCCAGTCAGTGGTGGTGAAGGGGTTGGAGAGGAACATAGCGAGTCTATATGAAGCCAGACGTCTCCTGCTGGGCCTGGAATCCTGCGAAGTGTCAATGACTGCTAAAAACTCTTGTGAGGTCTCCATGGCAACCAAGCCCTCCCTGGACCCTCTGCTGGTAAACAGCAGCATTACAGGCTACTGGTTCAACATGCTAATGCAACAGCTTCAACTCACTGAGACAGGTCTGTGTAATGTAAGGTAAACAGAGCTGATAAAGTTGGGTCCATAAGTAATTGAACATTGACAAGTTAGCGTTACTGTAACTGTCTACCACAGCATATTAGAATTTAAATTAAGTAAATAAATATGAGCCCAAAGTGCAGACTTCCAACTTTAATTTGAGGATTTACATCCAAATCAGGTGGATGATGTAGGAATTGCAACCATTTGCATAAACAGTTTCTGATTTCTAAGGGTTTCAAAAGTAATTGGACAGTTGGATGCTTAGCTGTTCCATGGCAGGTGTGTGTTATTCCCTCTTTATTTCACTTACAAGTAAGCAGATAAAAGGTCTAGAGTTGATTTCAAGTGTGGTATTTACATTTGGAGTCTGTTGCTGTTAACTGTCAATATGAAATCCAAAGAACCATCACTGCCAATGAAGCAAGTTAAAATAATTAAATAAGCAATTAATAATTAAAAAGTCAAAGAGAAAATGTCACCACAGTAAATACAGAGGGTTTATCACAAGATGTAATCCATTAGTATGCCTCAAAAACAGGGAGACCAGATTAGAGTTTGCCAAAAAAACATCTATAAAAGTCAGTTCTGGAGCAACATCTTATGAACAGATGGGACAAAGATCAACCTGTACCAAAGCACTGCTCATGAACCAAAGCATAGTACATCGTCTGTAAAGCATGGTGGCGGTAGTGTTATGTCATGGGCAGATATGACTGAAACAGGTTTTCTTGTGCGCATTGATGATGTGACTGGTGACAGAAGCAGCAGGATGAAGTCTGAAGTGTATAGGGCTATATTATCTATTCAGATTCAGTCTAATACCTCAAAACCCATTTGATGGCACTTTACAGTGCAGATAGACTCTGACCAGAAGCATACTGCGAAAGCAACCCCTTTTTAAAGACTTTTTTTCAGGCAGGAAAGTAGAATGAGTTCTGCAGTGGCCAAGTCAATAACCTGAACTCAGTCCAATCAAGCTTGCATTTCACTAAAGGCAAAGCTGAAGGTAAAACACCCTAAAAACAAGCAGAAACTGAAGACAGCTGCAATAAATGCCTGGCAGAGAAGAAATGCCAGGGGAGAAACCCAGCATGTGGTATTTTCTATGGGCTCCAGACTTTAGACAGTCATTGTTTGAAAATGGCAATTTAATGTATGTTTGTTAATTTGTCCAGTTACTTTTGAACCCCTAAAGAAGGAAGGGCTATGTATGAAAATGACTATAATTCTTGCACCATTTTTCCCATTTGGATGTAAATAACCTCTGGTTTAATTTAAACTCCAAGATATAGTGGTAGACAGATAAAATAGCAATAGCTTTGTTAACATCCATATATTTGTTATAATGTGTTTGTGTATGTCAGTCTGTTTGCCATTAACTCTTTCCTTACACTTCGACACTATCGTAAATTCTCAGCCACTGTCCCCACACCGGATTCAGTGCCCAGTACTGTCCCAGTGAAGCCACGCCCCTCTCCCCCACCCGGATTAGTTGGTCCTGCAGATGAGGGACGAATGGGACTGAGGGGAACGGACACTAAGCTAGAGAAGGTGTGAATAATGAAAAGTACTTATCTTCACTGAAGCCCCACTACAAAGACCTAATTGGAGGTTAATGTGAAAACATAATTGTTGGAAATGTGGCCATAATTACCATCAGTTGAAACTGTTAATAGTTATTTAAAATGGTTAGACTGTTCCTTCAGGATATTCTCACTTAGACTGGCTTTTTTATGAGCCGTCGAGAGTCTATTATGCATATTCTTTCTAATGAAGAGACAGTTGAGGATTATTTAAGTGACAGAACAGTAGAATGGAGAAGGGGTTAGTTCATTTTGGCTGTAGATCATTATAGCTGTGGGATTATTCACAGTAACACGAACCCTTAAGTGGTCTATTGCTTTTACACTACAGTTTTCAAATATATCAACCCTGTAATAACAAAGTCTTGTATCTCAGTAAAACAGTCACTTTAGAGGAGAAGAACATTCTTAACTTGTATATTAATTTAGCAGGATTTCATTTAGTGTAACATTCTGTTGATCCTTTCAGCATGAAATGTTCACCCAATATAAAAGGCAGCAGGTTTTTTCAAGTGGGGAAAAAGAAGACAAAATATAGTTAAAAAGTTTTGATGTGTCAACGTTTTAAATATGTTTAAATATTTTTTAAAAAATTAAATAATTTAAAAATTGGCAATTACTCTTAATTAAAAATAGGTCCAGCAGCTTAGAATATACCAACTATTATTGTTACTTAGCAACAGCCCTTGGTGAAATGATACAGGTATGATGGAAAAACATTATCAGATATAACCAGAGTTTTTTCAGTGAAGAGAATTGTGATTCAATAGCATCTTCCGAGTAGAGGGTGCTTCCAAGCGAGTCCAAAATGAAAGGAGCTTAATCATTTTTTTTTAAATATAGAAACTTGCAGAAATTGTCTAAGCACAGAACCGCATTTAATATTTCAACACTGCCATTATATTTTTGAGTGCTTTTGAACTCTGTTTACAGCAGGCTAATGCACATTCATGACATCAGTCGGCACAAAAAGCTTTACTCAGCCAATGAGCTGATCAGCCCACCAAATAAAAAAAAAGTTGCTGCTTTCTTTCTACTTTCCAAGATTAAAGAAAATTCTCAATTTTTCTTTTTCCATTTTTTCATTTTTAGCTCCATTCAGCCCCATTCACCTGGGACTTGCTCGCCGGTGCCCTCTATCATTTTGCAGTCATGTTTTTGGTATAATGGGAGAAATAGAAAGTGACCACACTCCCCTTAAACAGGCTCTGATATAACAACATGGCTAGAACACTTTTCAGCCATTTGAATTGTGTGATCATAAAATAAATACTTATGTGTTTTATTGATTTCAGATTCCAGAGAGTGAAGACCAGTTAACAAATGCAGAGAGTAAACATTCAGAATTACAGGAGCAAGAGGTCACTGAGGTCAAGGAGGTCATTGTCAAGCCTGCAGGCTCAGTCAGGAGAAACAGCCAATCAGAGGCCACCAGAGACCAAATTCAAGAACAACTACGCAAGCCATTGACCTCACAGAGCTCTCCAAGGTAATAAGGTCATATTGCTCACATCTGAACTGTATATATTGTATAAATCATCACTGTCGCATTATTTGAGAACAGCAACTGTGGTTTCTAATATGTCAAAATGTATTGATGAATGGGGCAATAGGAATAGTCCAAAATTACTTGGACAAAATCTTATTACATTGATTTACATAAAAAGTAAGAGCATTTTTGCCTTCTTCTGTTTTGTTTTGTTTTGCACAGCAGCGTATATGACGTCATGTACTTAATAACTTTACATTGCTTCAATGCTTAAGATGTGAGCTTATGTTGCAGCTTTAATGTGTCAATACCATACATTACATACTTCAATATGAAATGCACGCAGCACCTACTGTGCATATTCTATGTTATTTGTATAAATTCACACTACAGTTCAAATATTTTGGATTAATGTTTTAACAGTACAAAACCAATTTGGCTTCAGTGCTCATTCTTTTTAATGTCATAGGTCTTAAATTATTATTTGGACACTAAAGCTGTTGACAAAAGAGTCAGAAATGTTAGATGTGTCCTGAGTCATGAATGCAGCCATAGGAGATTCTTAAATGAATGATAAATCTGTATAAAAAAGTTATAATAAAATTAATATCTACATTTCATTACATTTCAAAAGTGGAGGTCAAACAACTTGGAAAAATTCCTGCAAATTGATCATTATATTATAGCAAAGTTTGTAATTCAAAATCCTTGAAGCATTGATCAAAACACCTGAAAACACCTTATTGGAATATATATAATTTACAAGATATACATCTGCATTGTAGAAGTAATTGTTCATATAAATGAACACAATTCTGACTCTGATTCAGAATCTTTTATCAGAAGTGTCCTTCGCTACAGTGCCAGGAGAAATATAAATTCTCATTTTCAGCCTTTTCCATCTCCATAATCCAAACCTGGTGTCATACAGTTAAGCGAGTTGAACACTAAATGCAAATTCAAAATGCTTATTTCAATTATTTATTAAAGGAAGTCATGCACCCCCTAGTGCCCCTTTATGAAAGGGTAATTTTACCTTTACCGGCACTTCCTGCAGTGATGGATCTGTCTCTCACAGCTTGGGAGGATTTTACTGCAGTCCTTCACGCAGGGCTGTTTTAGCCTGACATTTTCCAGTATGAACTGCTTGAATCTGGTGTTGCCTCAGAGCCCTCAGTAGGATTTGGCTACTCAAAAGCTTTTCTCATGAAAGTACTTGTTGTGAATCACTGTCTGGCTGCTCTTCTTTAAAACATATTTGTAATGATTAGAAGGTCCAAAGCTGGTCATATTTATGCTGGAAATTAGGCCCAATTGTTTGCCCAGAGTAATTCCCAACTGATGTGTGTGTAGTGAGTTCACCAGATAGGATGATTATTTTTTAAATCCTCATGAAATGGCAAAAAAGTAAGAAGAAAGCAAGTCAAGTCAAGAGGCTTTTATTGCTATTCCATCTATGTACAAGTACACAGTGGAGTGAAATTATGTTCTTCCAAGGAACACGGTGCAACATGGAACAAAATAGACAGTACAAAAAGATAAAAACATAGTTCATTGTTGACTCACTTAACATTGGCCCACAGAAATAGTACTACTGCAAACAATAATAATTCTTCTCAGTCGCATAAACAAAATTACACTGAACATTCGATGTTGAGCTTCTTTGCTCATCTCTGGTCTCTGTGTTGTAGTAAAGTAGTAATCCGGCAGTTTAAGAACAACATTCCTAAATGATCAACTGCAAGGATTTTAGGTATTTCTGTAGTCTATGCATAGAGTGCATAACATTATCAAAAGATTCAGGAAATCCAGAGAAATTGTGCTCAAATGAAAAGGCCAAAAACCACAACTGAATGCCTGCGAGCTTCGATCCCTCAGATGGCACAGAATTAAAACGGGCATCCTTCTATGATGGATGTCATTGCATGGGCTTGGGAATACTTTGACAAACTGCTGTCAGTAGACACTGTTTGTTGCTGCATCCACAGTTTACTATGCACAGTGGAAGCCATATGTCAACAACATCCAGAAACTCCACCAACTTCTCTGGGCTTTACCTCCTCTTTGATGGACTGATGCACAATGTGAATGTGTATTGTAATCTGATGAGACAACCTGTTTATGGAGTTGAATTATGCTGTCCTCTGGGACAAAGAAGAAAAGGACCGTCCATATTGTTACCAGCGTAAAGTCCAAAAGCCGGGTTCTGTCATGATATGGGGGTGTATCGGTGCTGTGATCTGTGAAAGTACCAATAATGCTGAAAGATATATACACTTTGTGGAGAACATATGCTGTCTTCTAGATAGCATCTTTTTCAGAGATGTCCACGATTATTTCAACATAATATTCAGCATTTATTTATAATACATTTGCAAAATGTAAAAAAGGGGTAAAAAATCAAATGCTGTGCTTTCAATTTAATTCAGGTCTGTCAATATTGTCTTTGTGGAGCTGTTGCCAGTAAATGACCTGCTACGTTTTTGTTATTGTACAGACATTCTCCTTCAGAAGTGAGCTGAACTAGCAGTCTGTTTATTCATCTGTGTGTGTATGTCTGGGTGTGTGTGTAGCAGATCCATGAGGATGGAGGTAGATGGTGTGTATATTAACAGGGACAGACGCTGCAGTCTTAGAATCTTTCCCTCTCTGGACTCGAGCTCAAGTAACGAGGTAAGTAATGAAGTGTCCAATGAAGAACCAGACAGTCTCATGTTA